CTAGCAAATAGCTGCTCATATTTCAGAGCTCAGCTCAACCCTCTCATGCTCTTCAAGGCTTCGTCTATTGCGCCCCTACTCTCACCCCAAGAAGAACTAACCACTTTCTTTTTTGGGCTCCATCTCCACATACATATTGTTGACATCAGTTTGCCTCTCCTGGACTGTAAACTCCTTGAAGGCAATGTCTCTGTCATGTGCATCACTGCACCTCAGTGTCCAGCTCATAGTAGGAACAAAATAAATATCCAAAGAATGAATAATGAATGAATTAAAAATGGAGCCCAACCCGTGAGCCAAGGTTAAATGAATATTATGGTAGTGGAACAAATGTTGATCACAATAGTGCACTGAATCATCACGAAGGCCTGCCTGCTGGTAGCTTGCTATTTGTAAATCTGCTAAGCCTCAGTTCACTTTAGTAAACAAGTTGGGAGAGTCTTCTCTAGAATGTAAGGGACAGAAAATGGGTGTGGTGCCTCATATTGGCTTACTTCCTTAGCAATTTGCAAAAACAAAACTCAGCAAAACAATTCCCCCTTTTCCAAAAGTTGGCATTGGCTCAAGTTTTTCTTTTCCAAAATACTTTGTTTGGTCAGGCAACACTCCCCATGCTATAGCTGTTAGGGCTTAGCATGCTCTGAAGCCATTAGGGAAGTCAGTCCTGCACACCAAACAGACTCAGAGCCCTGAGTTTCCAGAACTGGAGTCCAACGACTGAAATCCATAACGACAGCCGTCTTCTGGGTTCATGCTGTTCTAAGCTTCACCAGAACAGGCATGTTTTAGAGACTGGCCTTGAGCTATCCTAATTTCCACACCTGAAGTGAGGCACGAGTAATTGGAGGCAGAAAAGTAATGCAGGAGAGTGTTTTAGTTTTACATGCACATACGTGCTCCTTGTTTCCTGACAAAAACACCACTTTAAATCCAGCCAACATCACAGAGAGACCAAGGTACAAAAGAGCAAGGATTTTTTGATAGCAAAACTTTTGTACTAAATAAATAAATAAAACAGAACAACAACAACAACCACAAAACAGACAACAAACCCTCTTACTCCATATTATCTATTCATTTCAGATGGAAAAGCCCTAGGCAGCAAGAGAAAGAAAATTTGACCCATGCATTAAGTAGATTGGATAGTTAATTTAGGGCGAGTGGAAACAGCCAAATAATATTAAGCTGTCATGGTGGAAAGTAAGTTTTGGACATTCTGCTTTCACATTACTACCCAAACTTGTAAAAAAGAGAGGCAGAAAGAAGGACTAAATTTAGACTTTAATTTAATGCATTCAAGAGCATGATTCATTTCCCCCCTGCCCTGGTCCAGCCTGGGGAATCTGCGTGTATGTCAGGCAACACCAGGATGCCCTGGAAATAAAGGGAAGTCTCGTTCATTCAGAGGCTTGAGGAAGCCAGAGACACCCTGTTTTCTCTGCCAACAAAGGTGTTTTCCCGGTACCTCACACACCAAAACGTAGAACCTGATTTCTCGGCTGGCGAGAGTCCATCTAATTTTAGCTTTGCCCTGGCCTTGGCATGAATATGCTGGAAAGATATTCTGCTGCTCCTCTTCTCTAAGTGGCTTTTTTCCTCTCAGGCTCCAGTGGCATCCCAACCAGCTCTCAGAAGCCATGCAACATGGGTCACCTTAATGAGACTCCCAAAAGGCTGTCATCATTTGGGAGCAATGCATTTAGCAACCCAGAGTCCAAGTCACCTCATGGTAGTCTGCGGGTTGGGTCTTAAAGAGCTAGTATTGTATATAACATAAATACCTGAGAGGATTTTGGACTATGTGAAAAAACCAAAAGCAAAACAAAACACCCAACAGCAAGAGCAAGTTCCATCCCCATCAGTCAACCAGGGTTTTAGGCAAAGTGAGCAGGTAGAGCAGATCTTCACTGGCCCCTCCCCAGCGTCATTATCTGCTGCTTCTAATCACGTTCTTGCATTCACTTCTGCTCCCGACACCAAAGCAAATATTTTAGCCTCTACAGATATTGATATGAAGGCCAGACTATCATTCGTGTTAATCCAATATGGTTTAGAGGTGAAAAGCACCTAAGCTATTTTATGATTTTACGGTGACTTCATTCTTTTTCTTTTGCTGTTAGTCTTTAAGCACATTTGGAAAGTAACCTCATAAGTCTTTTCTAGCTCTTTTTGGCCTTATTGATAGTCTCTGGGACAAAGTCTGTCTCTTAGGACAAACTATGAGAAAAAACATGGAACGTATATCAAAAATCTGTAGTTCGGTAGCATTGCCTCCCAGAAGTGAGGGCATTAAAGCGGTCTTCCTTTCTAAGGTATAAGACAGATGTTGATAACCCACCTCTAGGGCCCCATATATCCATATACACTCATCCCAATTAAGAAAGATTATTGCCCCAAACATGAAATGGGTTCAGCAATTTTGCAGTTAAAAACAAAAAGAGTTAGATATACAGCACGTGCATTACGTTACAAATGAGTTGCTCTGAGAAGGGCTGTGCGGATAAGCAGCGCTTGGAGAGGTCCACACAGGGCACATCCACACAATGAGACTTGTAGACCCTGGGCAGGGCTGTGGGTCCAGGTGGATATGAGATCCGATCAGCCTGAATACATGCTTCACAAACCAACCTGGACACAGCACAGAAAAGAGGCAAGACACCGCAGGGCAGCATAAACTATTTGTACCTTTCTCAAATAGCTTGGTATGTGGGTCTCCTGGGCAGTTCTGAATGACCAGGTGGGGCGGTCACCCAATGCCCTTCGGGCCCACCCAGTGCCATAACATGAAAAACAAATCATTTAGACAACAGGGATGTTCAATGACCTTGGCCAAATGTTATGACAGATTTGGGGGCAGCTTTCTATACCCATTTGAGAAAGGACGAATACTTTTTAGCACTCTGGACAGAAAACTGGCTGATTTAGCTTAGAACAGTGGCTACCATTGCAGTCAATTTCAGAATGTCAAAAAGGAAGGTACGTGGTTGGGCAAAGGGTGTCATGAAGGTTGCATCCATCCAAGACTGGGTCAGTTACACATCGGGATTTGGGGGAGAAACTGATTCTCACACGCGCAGAGCACCACAGATCTAATAAACAATGTGGGAAATCTATTTTGATTCTTCACTCACACAAAACACCTCTCTTCCATCTCTGGGGGGGGTGGTTTCAAGTTCTAAACTACAATCAGCCCTTCTTTTAAAATAACAATAATAGATCCTCGTATTCAGCCAGATGGTGGTGTTTGTTGCACTAGGCTGGGTTCATAGTACAACATCAATAAATGGCCACTTGTAGAGGGACAGACAGAATCCCATTCATAAAACACACCTACACCTCCCTCCTTCTCCCATCCCAAAATGTTGCATTGTCAAAACACCCATGGGGGCTTAATCTCTTTTGGAGAAGAAAGGAAAACTAGAAAAGGCAAAATAGTCTAAGTGGAAAAGCAATTTCTTGGGGGAATATAGTACATTTACTCTCTGAGGAGGATAATCACAGGTGGGCTTTTTAAGTGTTGTTTTGCCTTTAGGCACCATTTAAAAGGAGGATTCCAAAAGAGTTTTCCCCAGTCCCTGGAAAGCTGTCTTGTTGAAGGCTGCACATTGTCAACCGAAAATATTGCAACTGGGAGATGGAGTTAAAATTCTTTCTCAGTGAGTTGGCTAAGTCTGACGAAATGAATATTTGTTCCAATTAGGTGTTCCAAAAAGCCTTCTTGCCTCAGATAACTCATTTTGAGAAGGAAAGGGTATTTGTTCAAAATCCATCACGGAAGGGAAAATGATGTACTGGTGTGTTCCATTGCCAGTGTACACACGCTCTTCATAGGCCTGGAGGACTCACACTCTTTGGTGCTTTGTCCTCATTTTCTTGGTCTCAGTCCTACCTGGGACCGGCAGGGGTCGTAGATGGGATGCTGACTAGTCTCTGCTCCTGCTCTTAGTAAGCTGTACTACCTGGTTGTGTAACCCTAATCCATGTCCACAGTCCGGGGCTCAGATGGCTGGCCTGTCAGCAAAAAATGTTTGAAAAATGTTAATTCAACAATGTTAGAGGGATGTTATTTCTAGAGCTAAATTCCTCAGGGAAAAGAAGAAATGGTTTTCCTGGGATTCAGCTCCTCGACTCTGAAAGATATTTCTTTCCTGACGCTTTCTTCCCAAATAATTTCCTAATGCCTGGTGTGCCCTGCCATTTGAACCAAACAAAATGCTGGAACAGACGCCTACTATACAACCATCTTCAAACTCTATACAAGGGGAGTGTTTATTACAGAGAATAAGCATCTATTAGGGCATGAAATGGTGGGGGCCTGCTGGCGCTCGCTCCCCACACTGAATCGCTTCATGATATGGATACCATTTTTTTTTTCCTGGCATTTACAGCAAGCAACTCAGTTAATAACCTAAGGCATTTTCCATCCTTCCAGGCAATGAATACTAGCCTCTTTTGAGTCTCAATAGCACATAATTTAAGACAGTGGGAAAAGGAGCTAGAGAATAGTTTCCAGTGCAAGGAAAACACCACGCAGATGTTTGCCCTCACTCTTGAATTCTGATGGTGAAACTGAGAATCGTTTATTTGTTCTGAAGTCAAACCCAAGGAATTTATTTTTTAAAGCTGGGGGCTGGGGTAGTGGTGGGGAGTAGCGACATAATATATTCCTAATATTGAAATATTCAACACATGGCCCTAGGATTTTGAATCCCCAAAGAATTTAGACCCTTTACAATGGTTCATTTCTTGATCGAATTTGGCACACCAGATATTGATTTATGTCACAGAAAGGACATACCTGAAGAAACACCTGAGGACTATTTTGCTAAAATTGTATATTCACCTTTTGTAATTGCTTTTTTCCTCCAAGATAGCAAGCTAAGAATCGGTCCTCTATCTTGAGCCATTTATTGAGAACAAACAAATGCACTTAGAAAAGACAAGACCCAATTGAAGTTAAATACCTGACTTTGGTGTATGAGAATCATAAACTTGCTTACGGTCTATCTGGTCCGCAAACACTTCCCCATAAATCATCCAATAGGGCATGTAGAAGATGTTCTTGGCCAATTTCCATGATGGCTCCTCATTGGGAAAGAGAATGGCTTGCCTGGCGACCCCAAAACTCATCAGCACCACCAGCATAATGATGACAAAGTACATCATATCTATCATCTGGAAGGGTGGGGAAGCAGAGGGAGAAACAAGAGGAAACCAGTATGATTGAGTGTTCCTAGGACACGGACATTGACGGACACCTTTGAAGGAGGTTCACTTTTGAGACTGCTGATAGTTTAGATAGAGAGCTGTGTCCAGGTAAGAGGACATTTGGTCTACTGAGGCCAATGTCCAGAGAATCTTATCAGTAACTCAAAAATCATTTTAAAAACCCCCAAAAAACAAAAAAACACAAGCACAGTAGAACTCCTTCATTTTCCATTGCTGCCTGTGGGACCCAGTCAAGACTAGCATAGGAGTCAAATAACACAGAGGCTTGCATTTCCATATGAATGCAGTACTAACTTTTTCTCTGCTCACTGGGGAGGCAAATGCCCTCCTTGGGTCTCTCTTTTTTGAGCAAAATTAGAATTGGGATAGTTGAACTATTTCAAGAACTACTGAAATGCTGTAAATTCCCTAAGTTCTGAAAGGCTAATGAAGAGTTGGAAAGCTCAAGAAAACAAGCATTTGTAAACAAAGCTAGGACAACCTAAAGATCTATCATATACCATCTTATTCTTGTGGCCCCACCTCATTGAATGGTATTCGACCACAAACCAGTCTCTCAGAGAACCACTCTTTCTGACTGACTTTTCCTATCAGGGTACGTATCCTATCACAAAGGGTGTTTTCATGGGGCCTTAGAATCAGGCTGCCTAATGGCCCATTCCTGTGCCTGCTGTTGAAATGTTGGATTTTCATCTCGACATGTTTATAAAATTCTCTTAACTCCACTCAAGTACAATGTTGACTCTTGTTCTACTTTACTTCTATTTTTTATTCTTTTGCTTGTTTTCATGATACACGTTATCTAGGATCTGTTTCACCTATGCCAAATTACTTTCCTTTTATTACCGAAAATAGATGAGGATGTAATAATTATTATTTTGTCTGGCCAGAACCCATTGCTTCTTTCCTTTAGAAACAGTTCCCACCCATTTTGGCTGCGAAGGTAAGTGACTTTTCCAGGCTAGGTTAATTGTGGTAGCTTACCCTCTGCCAACAGTGATAGGAGGTAGGCCTGTGACACAAGACAGGCCAACCGGAATCCTTTCTTTGGACTTTTTTCAACTGAAGCTTGGAGAGAGAAGCTCCCTTTCTCTCTCTGTAATAATGTGAATTCAGTGTCTGTGGCTGAGTCGCCCACTAGTGAAACTGATCAGAGAGAATGAAGCAGCTATTCCAGAGAGAGAGAGAGCATGTCGTGATGTGATTGAGGGCCTGGTTGCAGTAGCTCTTAAGCCCAGTTCCATCACCTCCTGCTATAAGTCAGTATCTCCCTCCTGGGCTTAAATTTGTTGGAGATTGGTTTCTATCCTTTGCATCAAACAACCTAATACAGAAGACTACCTTCTCTTGGATTTCAAATTTCCTGAAGGGATGCTTATCCAGAGAGAAAGACTAATGATAATGTTATCAATGATAATGAAGACTTTAAATTAGTTTTAAAATTTTATTTTGAAGAATACTGGAATTAAAACATTATAGGCTTTCTGTATGCCTTAGGACACTGGGGGCTCAATATATTTTGGGTCAATGAATTGACTTTCAAGTCAACTTCAAAATCCATCTCTCAAGTACTGTCTGAATTTGAAACTAAGAATCTCTCAAAATTTGACATTCACTGATATTTGTTCACTGTTCTTAAAAATGTATGCTAGTTAATTAGTTATTCCTTTCACAATTTAGTGGCCTCAGAACTCTCTCAAAAGTGAGCAAGCCAACTGTGTTGAAATAGTTTTATAGGAAACATGGGTCTGTTTTTCATCCTCTCTCTCTTTTTCATTTTGTAAAATTCTTTGGTCATTTATTTACAAAAAGTTATATCAATGAAAAAACATGGGTCCTTCACGTTGTGTTTATTTAGATTGATTTGGAGGTGGGTGGGGAGCGGAAGGTGTGTACTCATGAGATTTGGAGGCTAGTTTGACCCAAGAAAACTGGGCCAGTAAATACAGCAAACTGTTCTAGTTTAACTTCTCAGGACTGCTTTCATTCAGACTGATTGTGGTATCAATCCAAAGGGTCAGAACAAAGAAGAAACAATGTTCCCAAACACCCGACTTCATGTACTTCAAAGAAGTCTTAGCTTCCAAATACCAAAGTCTGATAGAGTGGAGTGCAGAAATAGAACACTATTAGTGAGAACTGTGGCGGCTACTTTGGTTTTTAAAGCTAAATTGTCCAGTTGGTTCAATGTTAAGAGCCCCTATTCTGTCTTGTTCTTGTAAGCATCCTCTGATTGTGTTCTGTAGTGGAGGATATATGTTGCAGTGGCTTTAAACAGTGTTCTCAGGTGTCAGACTACCTGAGTTTTGATCTTGGCTCTGCTAGTAAAAATAGCTAGCTGGTCTTGTGCAAGTTGCTTAATCTCGGTTTTTTCGTTTTCAAAATGAGGATAATAACAACAATAATAATGTATACTATTTTTGTAAGGATTAAATGAGGTAATAAGTGAAACAATGTGGGTAGTTTTCAGTAAATGTTAACGTATTCTTGTTATTAGAATTGGAAAGAGGTCAGGCTGTGGAGTCAGATGGACAGGAGTTTGAATCCTGCCTTGGAATATAAAGGAAGGGGGTCAGGGTTCCATTAAGTGATCCTGGATCTAAACATCAGTTGGAATCATACTTGATCAGTATTGTGCAGAGGTCTCAGCATCTGCCTGTCCCTAGACCTCAGGGCATAGTGAGTGACTTGGCTGTTCAGTACTGAATAGGGACGCTCGAATGCTGAGAGGCTTTCCATGTCATCACATCTGGGCATATTTTGTTAGCATCCAGCCTGGCAGTCCATCTGGCTCACTGATAAATTCTATAGCCATATTTTTACCTACCTTCTGGATCAGTGACTCAATTATTGAACTAATTATCTTAAAAGCCCCATGAAAGAGAACAAAGCCCCCAAATATACTCATTTTCTACTTATTCTTGACTAAGTCAAGTCATTCATAAGTTAGAAGGTAGAGAAAATGCAGTTCCTCTCTCTTACTCACTCCATAGTAAGGTTTCATTCTAGTCAAAACTGGAGATAATTATGCCGTTATTAAAATGATAGACATGGATTTTAAAATAATCTTGTGCATTAGTGTGACTTTATTTCTAGTATTTAAATGCCACCCGTTTTTAAAGTAATACATTTGATTTGTTTGAGTCTTTTCAGATTTTATTTATTGAAATAAAATAAGGTAACAATCAATTAGAGAAAAACAACCAATCAGATTATGTAATTGTCTAATGTAGTGGTTCTCAACAGAGGGCAATTTTGCCCCCCAGGGAACATATGGCAATGTCTGGAGATGCTTTTGTTGTCATAAGTGTGTGTGTGTGTGTGCGCACCATGCATACACTACTGGCATCTAGTGGGTAGAGGCCATTGATGCTGCTAAACATCCTACGATGCACAGGACAGGCCCCCACAACAAAGAATCATCTAGTCCAAAATATCAATAGGGTCAAGGTTAAGAAGACTTGGCCTAACTTTGCAGCTGTTACAGTTCTTCCCTTTCATTGGGTCCATTTGAGAATCTCATGGAAGCTTGTCCTCTCTGTACAGAAAATTCATGCACCCACACATTTTTATATATAAATTGGGTGGAGGGTTCACAAATCCTCTGTCCTAAATCTCTTCCACAGACTCTAAGTTGAGACTCTCTGCTTTTAGACATAGGAATTTTCAACACAATCTCAAATTCATTACTAAAGCACAAAGAAGATGAGATAAGAGGCAGTGTAATAGGGTAAGATATACGTTTTCTTCCCTAGTCAAACATCCCTAATTGAACAGGGATTCAGTTTTGGGTAAGTAACTCAAGCTTGCTGAATTTAAGTTTTCCCGCTCTAGAATGAGCTTGGTGAAATTTCCCCTAAACAATGTTTGTGTTATAAATACCCAGCTTTTGTACAAAAGGATTAGGAATAGAGCAGAATAAGTATGCTCACCAATCTTCCCTTTTTTCATTGTATTTTAACAAACATAATATGAACATAATGATAACAGATACAATTTATCAACTACCTACTATTAGCCAGATACGGTTGGCCATTTTAAATGTGTTATTTCTAATCACCAGCACAACCTTACAAGATATGCATTTATTATTACTACTTGGTAATGAGTAAACTGGGTCTCAATGAGGTTAAATTAACTGCTCAAGGTCTCCTAACTCCTTCCTTTTGGATTCAAATTCTCCCTCTCTTTGCATGAGTTAGTCAGTGCTTTCGTAGAAAGAGTCTTGGTTATTTAGAATTTGTTTCAGTAGAGCTACATACATACATACACACACACAACAATAATAATAAATCTTGATTTGCTGACTGAAAGGTAAGTAGCAATGAGGTATAAGGTAAAACTTGAGTGAGAACGATAATAGAATACTTATTGACCAATTGTTGGTTTCAACAGCTCATGCAACGGGAGTGGAGTGGAGGTTATTAGCAAAGAGGTTTTTCAGTAAGAGGTGTTTGCCACAGGAGGAAGGGTGTGCTGGACTTGTCCACATATGTCCTGCAAAGGTTAAGTAGGGGGCACACTTAGAAAAGTGGGTAACTGATAAAAAGCACCCAGTTTCTGAGCATCAGGCTCTGATTCTTCCTCTGGTGAGTCTGGAGAGGGAACTGATTTGCTTGTGCACTCCCAGGTTGACACTGATGCCATCCCTCCAGGGTTCAGTCTTTATGGAGACAGTCTGGAAACTAGTATATGATCAAGGAATATTAGAACAAGTCCACAGCCACTTGTGGAGAAGCATATTAGTCTGACACTTGGGATTCTTCTTTTAAAGAAAAAGATAAGTAGTAGAATCATTCTGGAACCTGGTTTTTAACAGACATCATTTTCCAGTTTCCAACAAAACACATGATATATTGATAGAGCTTAATGTTCCACTCAAATTCAAACTAACTCAACTCAACTCAGTTCAACGCAAATCAAATAAACTGTTTTTCTTCCCTTTGTGTAGGGAAAGACATTTTTCTAGAACTTCGTTAAAAGAAAAGAATCTGTTAAAGTCTGGAGTGGAGACCCACTCCTCTTCCAAGATCCAGACAAAATGTAACCTCTCTGTGAAGCCTTCCCTGACCAACATTCTCTTTTCTATGCTCCCATTGTACTTTATACACATCTCTATTACAGCATTCTCACACCGTATGGCAATCAGTTCTCTCTTTTGCTCATCTTCAATCTCACGGAATGAACATCTTTCTATACCCAACTCCTAGTCCAGTGCCCAGCACAAAATGGATCATGTTTATATATATTTCTTGGTAGGTGAATGAGTGAGTGATGGTTAATTCTTTTTTTTTTTCTAAAAACTTATTAAGCCCCCCGGTACAAAGTTGTATATTCTTCGTTCTGGGTCCTTCTAGTTGTGGCATGTGGGATGCTGCCTCAGCGTGGTTTGCTGAGCAGTGCCATGTCCGTGCCCAGGATTCGAACCAATGAAACACTGGGCCGCCTGCAGCGGAGCGCGCAAACTTAACCACTCGGCCTCGGGGCCAGCCCCTAATTCTCCATTTATGTATATAGATGTAGTCAAACTCCTGAACACTCAAAAGGAATTAAAAAATACAACACCCACAGGGCCATCTCAGTTAGACATTGCTGGCAGACCCAAAAGCATTATTTCCCTCTTTCTATTATAACCACTCCTCCTCTGAGAACTCACAACATAGACTCAGAGGACCCTGCTTACCATTTTTCCAATCATCATTACATATGGGCCCAAATACTTGTTCACGCCGAAGATGTCTAACAGACGGATGTACCAGTAAATGATGTTCACACAATAGATAACCCTTCCATCACTCCTGAAGGGCTGGTCTTGGAGACGAAGGATCATTCCAACAGAGAACAGAAGGATGGCTATGAGGTCTGTGACGTTCCAGTATTCCTGCAGCCACACCTTCACTTTCTGCAGCAACTTCCCTGGCTCTGACATCAGAATCTAAAAGGCAGGAAAGAGAGTGGGGTTAGGTCTGATTTCTGTTTATCTATCTTTTCAGGCCAGGCGGAAAGTGCTTGATCTGTTAACTGACGTCAGTAGCTTCTTTTGTCTACCTCTATCTACTCAAAGAATCTGGATGGCCTAAACTTAACTCAGTTGCTGAGCTAAGCTTAGGTCATCCAGATGCAAATATTCTAGAAGCAGACATAAGCAATAAGTTTGCTCTTTTGGGTTGCCTTACAATTCTAAGATACACATTAGGGTTTTTTTGCTATAAAATGATTGATTCCTAATATCCTGCAAATCTCCCCCAATCCTCTCCTATCTCAGGAAACGGCATCACCATACTGAGTTACACAGGCCAGTGACTTAGGAGGACTCTTTGTTCCTCTCTTTCACACCCACACCCTCTGCGTCAACATGTCCTATCACCTCTGTTTCTAAATCCAACCTAATCCAACCTCTTCTCACCACTTCTACTGCTGTCACTCTATTGGAAGCCCCATTGCACCTCCTAGATGATCGCAGCAGCCTTCTCACTGGTATCCCTGCCGCCGTTGTTGCCCACCCAGCCTCAACCCATTCTCTGAGCAGCACCTAGAATGATCTTTAGAAACCCAAGCCATGATCTGCATAGTGGTAACATGGTCATATGGGTAGGTAAAAACTCATCAAGCTATACCCTTATAAGTTCATTTTCTTACAGGTAAATTATACCTCAGTCTAAAAAAGAAAGAGACTTGAGAGACAGATGAACAACGACAATCAAAACTAAGGCAACTTATGATAATTGAATATTTAAGCCTTCTGATGGCTTCTATTACAAATAAAGATCCAAACTCCTTATGGTGGCCTCATGTCGTGACCCACCGCATTCTCCCCATTCCCTACCATGCAACCCTAGTGGTCTGCTCTTAAGCAAAACAAATCCATTCTGTACTCAGGATATTTGCACTTGTTCCTTCTGTGGGGCATTTTCTACTCCCAGATTTTTACATTTCTGGCTCCTCTTCATCCTCAAGGTCTCCACACAAATTTCCCCTTTTTAGGACAGCCTTCCTTGACCACCCTCCCTGCAGTGGTCCCCACATCCCCAAGTCACTCGCTAATACATTAGCCATTTTGTTTTTTGAAGATTTTATCATAATAGGAAAATATCTTCTGTATGCATGTATTTGTGTATGTGTATTTCTGTCCATCTAGCTATCTTTCTAGCTCTCTAGCTATTATCTGTCCACACATCCCTCTCTACATCTATCATCTATCATCTCTTTCCATGAGACTGTAAACTCTGAGGGCTGACCCTTTGTTCTCTAGGGCCTATTACGAGACACTCAAAAAATATTTGACTGACTGATTGTTGCATAGACACCTCACTGCAATTCTCCCGGCCCTTGTGTATCTTAACTGCTGGGCAATACTCTGAACTGCCTTAAATCTAGAGGGGCCTCTTTGCCGCCACACACTTTATGAAATGCACAGTTGCATAGTGGGAGTTGCCAGCCGTCTTGCACCACAGCCTGCCCCGGGATGTGAGGGGCCAGGCGGACAGTGTAGTGAGGCTATGTAGCAAGGCTACCTTCATGACCCATCTGTGTTCACCTCTGAGATTCTCATCTCTTCGAGCCATGACCCCTCCCTCCCTACTCAGGACCTCTCAAAGGAGAGGAGAGCAAAGACTGGGGAAGGGTCTACTCTGTAGCTACTTATTTAAATCCTCATGTCCCTTTAATGGTTTCCCTGGGCCTGAAATATTAAGGAAGGGAGGTCTTAATAAGTCAAGACTAGGGCTTGGAAGGCTGAGCAAGATACCAGGAGCCACCTGGTAGCCCCCTTCTTCATCCTCTGTAGTCCTCATTCCTAAACCCTAGCCCTTAGCATGCATTGGAATCACCTGGAGCTGTGGTAAAAACACAGACTGCATCCCACTCCAGAAGTTTCTGCTTCAGTATGCCTAGTGTGGGGCTTGAGGAGTGACACTTCTAACAAGCTCCCAGGTCATGCTGGTGACCACAGGTTGAGAGCCACTGTCCAACCCATCAGGAATTCCCGCAGCTGCTGTTATCCTGATGGCTTCTGAGCCCCGGCTCTGCCTTACCTAGGCAACAATCTGTGCGTGTGTGTGTCTGTGCGTGTGTGTGTCTGTGCATGCGTGTGTGTGTGTGTGCACGTGCCCCCAGGGGGATGGGAAATACTTCAGAGTTTCTCTAATCCTTTGCCCACACTTTCCTAAAACTGTTAGACACAGAGGTTTTTAGTACAATGTTTTCCAAATAGTGAAAACATTTTTGTGAAATCTCGACACAAAAAAAGAGAGAAAAGCAGAGTGGTTCGGGGCGAAGCAGGAGTGAAAAGTGGAGTCCCCACCCTGGGCCCCTTCCCTTCTCCAGTCAGCCCCCCCGGCTCCTCTCTAGGCTCCTGGGGCCTATGAGGAGCATCACAGCCTGGAACCCACCCGGGCTGTGGGAAGAGAGGGGGGCCCAGAGGCGGATCAGTCAGGTTTAAGTCCCAGCTCTCCTTTTCAGCTGTGGGTTATGGAAAATTGCTCAATCCTTGAGTCCCAATGCCCATACCTGTAAAGTGGGGACGTCATAACAGCCGCACCATTTACCTCCCAGAGTGGTAGGGAGGAGGCCCCACATGAGATAACGTCTACAACGTGCTGTTGTAAACCGTTCCATGCGATTAAGGGATTACCGAGCCTTGTTTTGGTGACTACATGCAGAAGTATGCGGTGCTGGGAACGGGAGGGCGGCATGCGAAACCACAAAGACCTCCTTGTATAACCCTGGGAAGGCACGGAAGCCCACAAACTTTTCCATGTTTCCAGGATCTTGCGTCTGAGATCCTGAAGGAGACACGAAGGCAGTCCCTGTGGGGTCCTCCTCTCCGAGGGGGTTGAACATTTCTTTAATGGGTTCAGAGCCCAGGGGTGGGGGGGGAGTGAGGGGGTGGCCGAAGAGGAAAAGGTCAGACACTAAGTGGTCAGTGCCTCTCTCCCTCCCCACGGCTTCCTCAGAAGGGAAGACTCTTCGGTGACCCCCTGCTGACCCCAGCCTCCAGAGCCCTGCCCTCCCGGCTATTCTATGCCGCCTCAGGAGAAATGGATATCCAGGCCTTGAGGTTCCTGGCAGCCTGCCTGCTTGGCAGCCTCTTCCAGAACAGTCTGTGGAGTACAGACTGCTCCCTGTCTTCTCCAGTCCCTGGAGAGATTCCAATCTCCCTGCTCAAGTCTTTCCCTTTTCTGCGTATCATGGGGAAGGAATATGCATCTGGGCATTCAGTCACAAGAGCGAGCTGGTGCTTCCCAGCAACAGTGCCCTTAGTGGTAGCCGGCCTCTGTTCTCAGAGAGCTGCACAAAGACCAAAGCAAATTTATGACTGTTTTTCACTTTGCAAACTGGAAATCCACAACAGTGGTCAGGAAGTAGAAGGCACTGTGAATGGGAAGACCTAAGTGTGGACAACTAGTTGGAGCAAGGAAAGGAAAGGCAGCCATTAAAAAAAAAAAATCCAGTGCCTTATAAAATGGGGCTAGTGTACCCACCTCCAAACTCTCAGGAGGGGGGCACGCTGGTTAGAATTTAAATGTCCCCGGTGCAGTTTAAAACTCAAAAGAAGGGCTCCTAATATATATAGAGATTTTTTTTTTTGATTCCAATACGATGGCATCTAATATATACTCTATCTACTTCTATGGAGAACATTCTAGAGCTAAAACCTAAGATGGTCAGAGCCTTTTAACCTGTCTTAGTATTGAAGGCAAGGGTGAACTTGTGGATTCGTGGGAATCTTCTTTTCTATGGAGCCCAATATATTTTCCCACTCACTGTAGTACAATAAGTAGGATTGTTCCAGAGCTCTTGAGGGTGCAGTGGACTTGACAGGGAACAATTCTTCCAGAGATGGCTTCTCCTGCTGACTGTGGCTCCAAGGGGAAATGCAGAGGAAACGGCACTAGCACGCAAGCCTGCCTTCCCCGAGGGCTTTTCTCTCTGGGAACGCGATCGCGTTGAGCAGGGCTGCAGAGCCCTCTGGTGGACCGCTGCTTGAGCACATTCATTTTAGCGGCTCTGAATCTGATGGGCCCCTGAGGCGAGATCTGACTTCAAGTCAGTCATATGGGGGTGGTGTTGCGAAGGCTCCTTTGAGGCGATGGGGGTGAGAGGAGAAGAGAGGGAGCCACACGCTTAATCTGCAGGATGAGAAATATGCTCAGTTCACCCCGGTGATGCCTTGGGCTGGTGGAGAGGCTGGTGCCCAGCAGGTGCATAATAAATGATAAGTAGGAATAAACCAGAGAATAAACTAATGAATAAATGCACAGCTCCTCCTAGAGATTCCCAGGAATGGGTAGACTCTGTCCAAAGAGACCCAGAGTAAGGGATTGCAATGGGAGTTAAAAGTCAAAAAATTTTAAAAGTCACGTTTATTGGGAAGAGGAAAGAGAGGTGTAAATTGCACTGAAGACAACTGGAGGATTTCTTGTGGCACGAACTACGTCAGCAGAAAATAGACTAAATCCTAAGCAGGCATGGAGTGAAACCCGACAAACAGCCCTGTAAAACTCCCCAGGTTTGTCCGCAGCTCTGGAAGCCGAGTCCATTATGTCTGTGGCAGAATTAGAGAAAACAGTTTTCCGGCTTAATTTGGATCCCAACCGTCCCTCTCTCTCTTCCACCCACAAATGTAACTAACCATTGTCCTCTTTTAGGTTCTCTTTTATGAAAGTGATTACCTCTCTCATCTTTTCTATTCCCAAGGTGAAAATATAGGAAATGACGATCCATTCCTGGGTGGAAGGCCAGCGCTCCATCTTCACCAACACGATATAGTTGAAGAGCATCAGGTATCCGATGTATGCCAGCTGTAAGGAAACACAATACAGTGCCCTGGCTGCTCAGACCCGGGAGTCCTGCCCTTGGGCGAGGCCACTGCACTGCAGGACAGAACAAGGTCAGCAAGCAGGACTTAGAATTCCTGATGAAATGAACTTCAAAGTTCTAAACTATCAAAAGAACAAAAAAAGACTAATATTTGAAATAATTTGATATGCAATCTTCCTTTTGACCCTTACATGTGTCTCTGGGTCCCCGTCCTTTGCTGGTACCTATGTGTCAGGATGCATCACCTTGTTTTGCAATTACTCAGATTCTCGTGTCTTCCTGGCTAAAAAGGAACCCTCTTCTCTCAGAGGCTGCTCTTGCTCCTGCCTGAGCCTCAGGTTCTTGAGCTAGGGCAGCACCATGGATGTTTGCCTAATGAATGCCAGGTAGATTAAATGTCTGTGAGAAGGAAAGGATGACATGTTATACTTGTAAATTGGTCAAACCAACATAAAAATATCCCGGACTTTATCTCAAAGCCCCGCTTTAATTCTCTTCTCAGTTAACGTCTTCTTTTTTTCTCCTACCTTAACGTGCTTGGCATGGCAGTGCCCTGAGAGGGTTTGGCTATTTTCCATTATAACACCTTCCTGCCCTATCCAGGCTGGGATATTCCCTCCTGGTTTCTGCTTCTTGGAAACAAAACAAGAGAAGACAAAGCAATTTATAGAAAGGAATGGGTGTGCGTGGCCCACTGGGACTTGGAGCAGGGTTTCATCCTCCTGAGGCTCCAGTACCCAAGGTTGAACCCTGATGGAACTGGCTGAATTGCTGGGTGTCCCAGGAAAGCTCCTCAGGGTTCAGCTTTGGTGACTGTCACTGGAGGAGTCAGGTATGTCTAGATGAGTGGAGTATAGGAGGGCAGGTGAGCTTCTGGCATAAGGGGCCGGGAGCCTCTGGGGAATAAATTCACCGTAGGAGAAATGGCATATACGTCAAACCTTCCCCAGGCAAGGTTTCAAGTGGAATAAGGCACCTGCTGCCTTTAGGAGCCTCAGGGGTCATGAGCAGGAACTAAGAGTGAGTTTATTCAAATGCCCACTCTTCAAAGCCCACATAGCAAAGAATGGGACACAGTGTGGGCAAAAGGATTGAGGCCTTGGGAATTCTGGAAAGTACAGTATGACTCCGGAGCTCTGGAGGCAGCTTAGAAGGTGGAGAGAGATGCAGCCTGGCTATGAGATCCAAAGGGGACCTGGCAGCCCTACAGAGCCGGATTAACGCTGCTTTGTCTACTAATGGGACCACCCTCTTTCTGTCTTTCCTTTTTTCAAAAAATGAATGGATTATTATTATGAGTCAAAGGTATTTTCTGAGACCCTATTATGTTGACACATTTACTGACACAGTCATATAATTTCTCATCTCTTGAAGGGCAAACATTTGTCGGAGTTCAATGAGACCACGTATGGGAGCATGAGGGCCGTTCTGTGGATGCTGGAGGGCCCCAGGGCTCGTTCTCCACCTGAGAGATTTGCTCTTGGAAGCCCATCCTCTCAGGGACTGTCACTGTAATCCATGCCTCAGTTCCTACCCCTCCCGGTGAGGATCATTAGCACACTGTGAAAACCTCACCTGGCAAGAGTCCACTCTACCTGAAATCACGTAGGAAGCTGTTTAAAATGTCATCTGGTTCCTGTGATTCCTGTTTCCCCTGACACCCTGGCATCCACTGTCTAGTCCCTGTGAGTGCCATATATTACAAAACACCGAGGAAGGACGTCAATGGTTAAACTCTAAAATATGCTCTCAGCTTCCTTCTGACCGGAAATCCTTCTCTCTTCCTGGTGGCTTCCTTCTCTTTGTTGGATCATATTCCATTGCTTCTGGGTGAAATGAATCTTGCTAACTGCCCTGGTTTTTATCATTTTACCCAGTTCATTGCAAAACATTCCAAAGTATTATCCTCTCTTGTCACATGGAGGCCCAGCAACACACCCCCCATTCTTCCCGAACCTCTGCATTTTAGTACTGAAGCACCTCCTCCACCTGCCTGTTTCCTCTGAATACAGGTCTAGCGTACTTGGTGCAAGGAATGGTGTTTGACGGAAGGAACATAGACGCAGAAGTCAGTGAAACTTGGATTCAAATCCTACCTCAAGTGCTTACAAGCTGTACCATTTTGTGTATATCACTTCACCTGCCTGGGCCTCCATTCTGTGAAATGGAGGTGATTGCTACCGATGTTCTAGAACTTTTGGAAGGATCGGGCAGTGGAGGGGAGACACGTTTCTATCTCCTGACACAGGGTAGAGGCCCAGTGAATGGTGGCTAATATTATTACTCGCCTCTTTTTTCAAGAAACTTCTATTCCTCCTTTCTCCTCTTACCTCAGTCCTTCCTTCCTTTTGATCCCTGTTAACTATTCATATCTCTCCTCTTTCCTTCTTTTTAAAATTGCCCTCATTATGGCTTATGCTTCCTCTGTGGTCATCCTTTTCAGCTCCTGCCTGTTCTTTAAGTTGCAGTTACTCTATCATGATCTTTTCTTTCTATAATCAAGCCACAATATAATATTTTGGGACAAATCTCAAAATATGGGGTTCTGAAAATAGGCCTTTAAACACGTTTAAATGGCAAACAGAGATTGGCTGCTGTCTTGGAAGCAACTTATCTCAGAACTCACCAGCATTCGTGGGGCCTTGCTGCAGATTCCCTTAACATGCTTTAATGGTGTGTGTGTGAAAAAAAAAAGAATATATATATATATATACTCACAAATATATATTTTATGAGCTTGAACAAGCTGCATGTAGAATATCAACACTTTGAAAAGAAACACAACCTTATATTCCTATTTAAGTCACTGGAAATCATATAAGAATTTGTATTTAATTTTCTTATATATTCTTTTTATAAACTTTCCATTAACCAAGATGTGTGACTCTTTAACTATGAAATGCAAGCCCAAAGCCTGCTGGAAGCCTGTGACTCCCTGGTGGGGCTCTGCCATTCCTCACTTCTTCCCAGGCCTTTTCCGATGGCCCCTTGAGAGTGGAGGGGACACGTGGCGTTAGTAGAGGAAGGAGTCTGCCACTGCTGGAGAAGCCCAGAGCACACCCCCTGTCCTCTGACCTGGGACCACTTCACACCTTGAATTGGCATCCTTTCCAGTTGGGAACATGAAACAGGCTATCTCACAAACCGGGTCTGGAAGCCAGTTGGATTCCTGCCTCCTTTCTTCTTGGAACAGAAAAGGGGCCAACCTGCTCCTCCAGACACTCACTAAGATATGGAAGTGAGCTTATGTGGAAATGAGGTGTGTCCTACCTTTTGGAACCTCAGGAGCGTAGAAGGGGATACTTTTGGAAATCAGTATGGGAAATACTCTTACAGAAAAGCACACAACCAAAAGCAAATGGGACCTTTGATCTAAAGCTGAATTTTATTGTTAAGCATCTCTGGGGATTTAAAAGACTGGCACTCCTCATCTCCTTTTACTTCCTTGAGGCCCGGGCTGTGTCAATAAATAAATGTGGATTTCTGAAAATCGTTGTGTAAACACAATCAGACACGACTGGAGCATCCAGTCTGATGGGTTGGCTGACCTAACCCAGCCAGCCGTGCAGAAGGGAGCTGGACACATGGGCTCTGCTTCTCAAAGAGGCAGCTTCGCAACCTGCTGCATATTATACAAGGAAAGCAGTGTGTCCCACGTTTCCTGGACCACCAGATTCACCTGGGAAGCTTGTTAAACACAGCCGCCCAGGCTCTTCCCTGGACATTTGATTTAGTGCATCTATGATGGGACCAGGAATTTCCATTTCTAACAAAACCCCTCATCATCATGGAAGTTTTGGAAATACTGGGCTAAAACCTCAGTCCTCTCTCTGAGGCAGTGGTTCTCAACCTGGCTACTCATAACCACCTGAGACTTTGAAATATCCTGATGCCCAGGCTGTGCCCCAGACCAATGACGTCAGAATCTCTGGGGATATAACCCAGGTATCTGTTTTTACAGATAAAGATATAGATTAACTAGAACCCAAGTGTTATTTTTAAAGCACTCAGGGGATTCCAATGTGTAGTCAAGGCTGAGAACCACTTGCCAGGGCATTTGTGATTTAAAAACATTCTTGGCTAGCAGATTGCCTCAGCTGAATAAATAGGACTAGAGGAATTAAGGAAGTAAAATTAATACTGAACACAGATCAAGGGAAAAAGAGCGGTGCCTTGGAAGGATAAGAGAAGTGAGTTTATTCTAAAGGTGACAGGTAATTCTTGATACTACTACTTCTACTGGTCTCTTTAATGCTCTAGATCAAGAGTCTGCAAATGTTTCTTGTAAAGGGCCACAGAGTTAATTTTTAAGGCTTTGTGAGCCAGACGGTCTCTATCACAAGTAATCAACTCAACAGTTGTAGCCCCAAAGCTGCCAGATTATATAGGTAAACGAATGAGTTTGGCTGTGTTCCAATAAACCGTTATTTATGGACACTGAAAGGTGAATTTCGTGTAATTTTCACAGGTCACAAATTAGTCTTCCTTTGATTTCATGTCAACTCTTTAAAAATGCAAAAACCATTCTTAGCTGGCAGGCCACACTCACAGTCAATGGGCAGGATTTGGCCCGTGGGCTATCGTTTGCTAAGCCCTGTTCTAGGTTGAGACAACGGAGGGAGTCTAGTGGAAGAGAAAGGATAGACATGGAGGTAAAATGCAGTAAAAGAATTATGTTGATAAATCTGTCAGATTAGGGAAAGTCTATATAAGGCACCAAGACCGTGCCTCACAGTCGATGTTCAATAAATGATATTTTATTATTGTTGGGTGGCTGGATGAAGAGAATGCTGACTATTGCTGTGCAATGGGACTAGCCTACAAATAACAACTGTTACATTTACATTGTGCTTACACGTTCCAGCACTGTGCTAAGTGCTTCACTTATTTTAACACATTTACTCTTCACTAAACCTTACTCCTATTATTAGAGTCATCTTAAGAAAACTGGAGACAGAGTGCTAAAGTAATCTGCTTGAGGTCACACAATAACACTAAGAGGCACAGACAGGATTTCTACGTGGGTTATCTGACTCCAAAGTCCACATTTGTCACCACTAAGGTTGTTTCCTGCAAGGTAAAAACAGCATATATCTGTACAAAACATACAAATAGAAATGATTCTTGCACACCTTAGTTATTTTTTGGGGAGAGAATTTTTTTTCTTTTTTTAACATTAATAAATTTGAATTTTTACTTCACTAAAAAAAAATCTAATATTTGTTTTCTGATAATTTCTCATCCTCTTTCAAGACCATACTTTAAAGCAGTGGTTTTAACTGGTGGCAATTTTGCCCCACAAGGGGACATTTGGCAATGTCTGGAGACATTTTGGTTGGCATACTTGGGGTGTGGAGGGTGCTCCTGGCATCTGCTGGAGAGAGGTCAGGGAGGTGGCCAAACGTGCTAAAATGCACAGGACAGCCCCCCTACAAAGAATTATTCTGCCCAAAATGTCAGTAGTGCTGAGGTTGAGAAAGCCTTGTCTAAAGTCAGCAGTAACTGTTAACACACAGGACTCACAATAAGCACCTCATCTGGGATTTGAGTCATCTCGATCTCAGACTCGGATTATCCTGTTGCTGACTCAAGTGACTGCTGTGTAGCTGGTTGAGAGAAGGGCCAAAAATACAGACACGCTATCCTTCATCTGGCACAGTTCCTCTGTGGCTGGAGAGAAGCAGGCATGTCCTGAGCCAAAGCTCACCTTAAGGTTAAAATATCATTGAAAGGTACAAGTAGAAACCCAACGGCGGAGCCACTTCTCCTGTATCAGGAGGCTGTTTCAGGGACTATCCTTCATCGTGTGGGCAGAAAATGTTTGCAGGCTGTGCTTCCTGAACAATATTTGCCAGGATTTGCTTCTTGTAGTTTTTGCTGCTTTGGTTTGCATGTTGAATTGTGTCACAGCAAGAAAGGTTGTCTGATGACATTACAAATTGGGAGTAGTTACACATTTAGGCTACCCACCTTTAGTGGGGTTACTTCTAACACTCTTCTCAGATCTTACTCCACAAAAGTACCCCCAGACCCAGGACTGGCATCTAACAGAAGCAACACTGACCGAATGTGCTCATCCATCCAGAACAGGAAAGTGTTTGATAGAAGGACATCTATTTTCCTGCTAGACTAGACTCATACTCATCTCACCTCTATTTCTGTTAGTTCTCACTTTTACCATTTCCTTTATTTTCTGCACAGAGGAGAAACGTAGAAGCTGTGGAAGCTACCTCACAAATCTTACAAAGCTGTTGAAAAAGCAAGGTCGTAGAGCTTTCATTCCAGCCTGTATGGTCCTTATATTCTGACTCACAGAGGCAGCCACACAGGCGCACAAGAAATTGACATCGGCTCTTTGTGGCCATCTATTAGGAAGAACAAAAGGAAAGATGCTTACAGTGTAGAACCAGAACTTCACGATGGGTGCATTGTAGAATTCATAGATTTTTCTGCCCAGGGGGATTAACCGGTGCCTGCTTTGAACTTCCTCTTCATCCTTCTTCCTGGAGGATTCCCCATTGTTTCGTCCCAACATTGCCTACAGTGGAAGAGAATTGATAACATCATGGCAGGGCTCTGGAGAGCCTGTAGCTCAATGTGCTCATTCTACTGATGAGGTAAAGCATGCTCGTAGAACCTAAGAGCTTTGTCCAAAACCCCCAGAGATTTAGAGATTGTGTCTTCTCTGAGTGTGCATTTGCGTTATTCTTAGAATCTGTGTACCCTTTGCTGGGATGGAAGGCTGTAGGGATATTTCTTGATCATTCTCTTCTCTTCCATCCTGGGACCTCTGGAAGATGTGAGTGATAGAAGATACTCAGAGTTCTGAGAGGGAGAAAGAACGTAGCCTGGGAAGGCCAAGAATCTGTCTTTCCTCCCACCCCTCTCTCCCCATATATGTCATGAGACAGGCAGATCTGAGTTTGAATTCTGTGTCCACTCAAGCTAATGACTCATCTCAAAGGAAAATTGGATGAGTAATACCTAATTTATCCAAAGGTTATGAGTATTCAAGAGGTTAAATTATCTGAAGTTCCTGGAGCTAAATTAGGTTAGGAACATCTCCCCATATGCCGTGGTTCCCTGATTTCAAACCCTGTAAAAGCCAAATTACTGCTGGTAGTAGTTTCATGGCAACTCCTGGGTACACTGCGTTCCTCTGCATGGGAGAGTCAACCAAACAGGAGTAGGAAGTCAGCCCTGACCTGGAGGGCCCTCATCTCTCAAGCTGCTGGAGATTTCCTTAAGAATGGAATTATTCCCTTCTCATTCATGGCAGAAGCAGCAGCAGCAACAACAATAATGATTAAGCATCACATAAAAGGCAGAATTTGAGAAAAGGCAGGCACATGCCTGTCTGGGTAGCAACTGACAGAGTGGATGCCTAACCCCGTGCCAAAGATGGCTGAAGATCCTATTGGTGATGAGTCCTGGGCTTTTGGTCACTCAGAGGGCGACTGAGTCCTGACTTGGACACTTAGAATCCATGGCACCTTGAGCAAGTCTCCTCTCTGAGACTTAGTTTCTTTCATTGTAAACTGAGGGTAATAATAGCACCTACTATAGAGCTGGTCTACAAATCAATTAGCATCCGGCACTTACGTGCTCAGTAAATATTAGCTAGTGTCTAATGTGAACTGAGACTTTCTCAGATACTCTTGACTGAAATGATCTAGTTGGGATCTCTCACCAGAAAAAAAAAGTGTGGTATTAGGAGTCTATTACAGCATAATTTCTTGGCTTTAATTCTTTAAATATTGTTCTAAGATAAGGTTAGTTCTATAATGTTTGGAAAAATGCAATTTTTATTAAATGTGAGAACAGAGTAAAACTTTAAAACTGCTCAGAGACTGACAAGGATTTGGGACAAGAAAAAGCACTAGGAATATGAGTTTAGAGTTGAGAGATATAATTATAGAAATAATTTAAGTTTATCTTGAAGTTGAGAACAGAGACAACCCCTAGATAATTCTGGTTTCAAACCACCATATCTAAAATATACAAACATTAGTTACAACTATTTTTGTCATTGCCTCAAATATCCACTTTGCTCAAATATGCAATAATCATGAATGATTTACCTGTAACCACAGGATTTCTGGAAAGTGTAACTTCCATTCCTTTATGGACCCTCTAGCTGGAAAAGTACCTTGAGTTAATGAATAGGTAAGATGCCACACTCTGGCCTCTCTAAGCATTTACTTTGATCAGTGACTGAGTCAATCTTCGTGATGGATATAGCACACCAGACAGCGACAGAATTCTATAAATATTGATCATTGACCTCAAGAAACTCTGAAGTTACACGACATTTGTGCCTCTATAATTTATAATTTATGTAATAATTATCCTACTTCTGTTCTGCTTACTTGTATGCTCAATAATATAATACCATTTGGGGACACAATGAGACAGGAATAAAGGCAGCTTGGAGAGTTTGAGGCATCTTGGAGAGTGGCATCTTGGGGTAACCTCTAGGGACAGAGACTTTTCCAACAGTGATAACAACGCCTGGGTCTGTGGACATATTGGGACTTCACTGGTAAAGTACAAGACACTTATCTGGCAATGAAGGTAAAAGAAAAACAAAAACACAACAACCTGATTGGGTTTTATTATTCAGCTACATTCCAAAGTGAATGCATTTTTAAAAGGCTTGCCTTTCATGGGTTTAAGTAAAGCATTTTTGACATTTTATTAATTCTAACCTAAGCAGCTTAACTTGCTGATTTTGTTGATTTCTTTTTCCAGTAGTCAAACATTTCCTTTGCCTACACTCCTTAAAGCAGAACGTAACAGGGTCAAATACAGACAAAACTGCACAATGTGGATCTGAGAAGCTTTGCTGGCTGGACACAGATGTCAAATCAGGGCAAGATCCTTTGAGGTGAACTCAGCTATAAGAGGCTACGAAAATGAAGCAAACTGAGGCTGATATTTTGATATAATTTTGGAAGGGCCAAGGGAAAATGTCCCATTCTAAGAGAGGATATGAAATATTTAACAAAGAAGCTCAAATATCAACCCTATGAAAAGGGCAGGGGAATCAACAAGCTGCATTCTCCAATCCTGTAAAGGGTAAGCCAAGATCAGTGCTCCAACAGTGATAGAATTTGTCATTAGGGTCAAAGGGAGCTCCACCTTCAAGACAAGTGCTGCCCCACCCGGACTTGGCCAGCCTATAAGTCTCTTCCTTCCTTTCCTCCCCGTGCTGTTTCAGCCTGTGGAGGAGAAGCTCAGGCAGTGATGTTACGGTGGTATCTTCTATTTGGTTCTCAGCAAACCAGAACAAAGTCTATTCTCTGGGAAGCAGATTTTGCTCTCAGATCAGAGATGCATCTTTCATTATGGCTTTTTGAAGGATCAGGTCCTCAAAACTCTAGACTGAGCAGGAGAAGGAAACTGCTTCCTTTATTTTCTTCCTTGAGACCCAACCAGAAAGAATATTGCTTCATCTTCTGGCTATCTTCCTAGGATCCTTCCTTGAACCTTCCTAGGATGTATGCCAACGTCAAGGCCATGTCATACTTGGCACAGGAGGCCCATGCATCACTTTTCAATTCTCTCTGCTACATGGTGGACCAAACCAGTTGAGCACCTCCATTTGAGACTAGGAAGAAATTCTTTGCACCCCTTAGCCTATCAGCTAAAAGCGAGGCCAATGGAGTCTGTAGGCCCGGGTTCTAATCCTGACTTTGCAACTACTTAGCTGGGTAACCTTGGGCAATTTAACCTCTCTGAGTCTCAGCTTCCTCATCTGTAAAATGGGATAATAAGAGTACCTACCTTGTGGGATTGTGATGAGGATTCCATGGGTAAATGTATGTAAAGAATTTAGCAATATTGGTAAACATTTATCAAGGCTTACCATGTGCTAGGCACTAGTCTACATAGTTTATATGTACACTTTTTACATAGTTTACGTGTACCTGTGAGCTAGTAATAATAATAATGTTATCATTCCCATGTTACAGTTTAAGAAACTGTCCCACAGTGAGTAGGTGATGGGGCAGGATTCTGGCTCCAGAGTGCACACTCTTTACCCCTCTGCTGATGTAGTCAATAAAGATTCGGTATTACCACTCTCACTGTTTCTGCTAATGATCAAAATATCATTTCCTATCCTTGAAGGGGTTCAGAGGCCAAAATGATGGTAAGATCTATAGGGAAGACAGTCATCTGGTCCTATCATAGAGGGGAGCAGACTCCTCCGCTGATTTTTATAAGGATCCTGAAATGGAAAGGGAACATTGGCTTTTAACTCAGTGAGTCAACAGCTGTGAACGATTAACCCATCGAAAGAGCCCCATGCTATACCCTGCTGTACTTGGGGCTGGGGCTGGCCTGAAAACAGATCTCTAGGAAGGGCCTGCTGGAAGGAAATTGTGCTTATCTGGAGGAAAAACAATTCACAAGGTGGTCCCAGTAGGATAATAATGCAAAGGCCTTTTGTCACCTGAGCAAAACCAATTTTTGTTTTCTCCCCTTACAGCTTCTTCTGGGTCATCACAGTTGTTGGTCGGGGTGGTGGGGAGGGTGGGGGATATCCAGGAAGTCCTGCAGAGTTGTTGCCTGATGGCTCCAAAGCTATGAAGCCTTATTTGTCCCTTTCACAGCATGTGATATTTTTAGACTTTGGATACAATCCAGTGGCAGTCACGCTGCTCAGGCAGGAGTCGCGGGAAGCTGTCCCATGCCCAGCTGCCCCATTCCTCCTACAGAACAAAGCAGCTATGCTCTATAATTATACCAGGAAGAGCTAATAAAAGCCTTCCATACAAACCTCCAAATTCAATTAGTCCTGCATTTGTGAGCCTGACCCCGAAGACAGACAAAGGCTTAGCTTCTGATCAGCAGAACAGTTCCAGCTCAGAGACGCTGGCTGCTCCCAAGTCACAGAGTCCCTTTCCTTCTTTGTGTGCTGACTGCCACATCACCTGGTTGTTTATAAAGCACTGCCTGTTTGGGAAATTGACGGCGCCTTCCTTTTGAATTTCACTGGGTTGTCTTGCACCACTGATAACCCTGGCTGAAGGGTTTCACATAGGATTAGTCCCTATAGCCATGTTGTTTGCACATAGAGGGGACATGGTGGGAAGCTGACCTCGAGAGCTATGGAATCTCAAGTCATATCAATGGGACCAGTGGATCAGGGATTCTCCCCGTGGACAGTAACTGGGTAGTTTTTTCTTACTGTCAGTTCCATGTCTTCTTCATCTTTTTCCTTCGTCGGCTTCTCCGGTTCTTCTGGCTCCTTCTCTTGGAGATGGATTTCCTGGGCCTGAGTCATATAGGGCATGTCGTCTTTGTTCTTGAACTCCAAGCTGAGAATTGAAGGAGGAAGTAGAATTCCCAGAATTACCTAAAGTAATAATAATGATAATAATAATAATCACATTTAAAGGATTAAGATTAGGGTGGTTGCTTAGAATCAGAGGGCCTGGGGTGTGACATATATGTGTATGTGTGTGTGTGTATGTGTGGGTGTATGAGTGTTGTGTGTGCCCTGTATGAGGACCTACACATCTGAATAAACACATTAGTACTAAGAGGGTCACTTCTGCCATTGGGGAACAGTGACGCACAGTAGCTCAGTCTGATTCTGGAGAAACAAAGCATTTTACCCAATTAACACTCAATCTGCATGGGGGAAAATGAGGAAAACAAGATCCACCCAGGGCAAAAGTGGGAAAGAATTTGGATTCCCATTTAGCCATTAGATAGGACTTGACTTTGTGAAATCAATTCATACATACGTCCATTGGCATTTATTTGCTAATGTCAGGTGGAGTTGACTATGTGTCATCTGGTTATTTCTGTAAAAACTACTATCCTAAGTTGACTTTGAGAAAGTCCGCGTAGGAAAGCATGTTATTCTGTTCAGAGCATTCCCATGGCATTTGCTACTATACAACAGAAACACGCACACACACATACACACACACACACACACCCCAGTGGGCCTGTATTCACCATGAGAATCCCCCTGCACAAATGCCCCATGAGGGCCAGCACTGTATTTCTCTCATGCATACACGAGGTGCTTAAATCTCCATGTGATGATACTAAATACATGGGCCTTTCTCATGAAAGGGCAATCGCATTCTCCCTTTGCCAGGGAACAAGAGCTTTTCTGAATCATAATACTGACATCTGACCTGTGCTCCCTAAATCTTCTCCCACCTCTCCCCTCCATCCTAAAATGGTTCTGCTGCACAAGGCATCTGAATCGGAATCTCCTTGAAGAAACTGCACCAAGGTGAGGGGCTAAGAGAGATCCTGAAGGGTAGGTAAAAATGCTCCTCAAGCCATGAGGCAGGGGCAGCCTGCGCTTGAATGCCCACAGAGACTGGAGAGCAGCTGGGGGAAAACGGAGAGTGGTGACCCTGAACTCAGGGTGCCTGGCAGGCCTGCGAAGGCTCAGGTGGCATGCTGGCAGCCTTCAGGGGACATGACACCCTGTCCTCTGAGCTGAGAGTCTGGCTTGGCAGTCACCAGCAGTGAGCTATGCAACAGCCATGACCCATTTCACGGAACCCTTGTGGGACCTTGGGCCAAGAGCTCACAAGAAGGGTGGAGTGGTGGAGGGGTGCTGGTTAAATAAGGGTGGCCACAGCGATTGCTGTGGTCTGGTGGCCCTTCTGCTTTGGCCTGACCTCAGAGTCACCCAAATCAAGCATTTTAAAACTTTCTTTTAACCGTCTCCCTCCCATTTTTTCTTTCTTTTACTTCTTTCAGTTTAATGTGTTCCTTGCAAAACATTAAAGAAAACATAAAAAAGCAAAGGCCACACATCGTCCTACTTTCCTTCTAACCCCAGTGGTAGCCACGACAAGCAATTTACTGTGTATCCTTCCTGTTTTTTTTTAAAAAAATTAATTTGCACAGATATAACTACATGTACATGCTTAAACACGACAAAAATGGACTCAGGCTCTACACACTGGTTTGTGACTTGTTTTTCTTCACTTAAGAGTAGATCAGTGCCACAACTAGAAGGACCCACAACTAAAATGTGCAACTATGTACTGGGGGGATTTGGGGAGAAAAAGCAGAAAAAAAAAGACTGGTAAAGGTTGTTAGCTCAGGTGCCAATCTTTAAAAACAGAAATAAATAAAAATATTAAAAAAAGAGAATAGATCAGGATTATCTAGCAATGCCTTTACATATTAATCTATCTCATTTTTATTTCAGTTTAAGAAATTTCTCCAGTATAGCTGATAAGCATCAACGTCTCTTCATGACATAGTACAAAGGAGGGCCAGGGCATTAAGGCTTCCCTGGTGGTGAACAGTTGCCTAGGTAACTGGCTCCTGGGGCAGGATGGCTTGTGCCAGAGCAAATGGTGCCCCTATGGTACCTGAGTGTTACCAACACGTTTGACTCTTCTAAAAAATATAAATGTCTACGTGCCATCTCTAGAAATTCTTTTAGCAGAATTTGAGGGAGGCCCTAGCTTCCACATGAAAAAGAAAAAACTATACGGAAGATTCTGATGTACAGTTGGGGTGTAGAACTACTCTCTCGAGATAAGAGAACGCCTAACACCACCATAGATTTGGCTTGGAAGACACCAACCAACCCTCCGGTCCTCATAGTCAACAGGTCCTCCTGGGCGCGCTGACCTTGAGGCCTGAGTTCTTGCGCATGCGGAGCCGGCCCATCCACATGTCCGTGAGCAACATCTGGCTGCACGTGTGTGCAATGAAGTCGCGGTGCTTGGCAGCCACAGCGAGCTGCAGGCATGTGGCATTGCTCCAGTTCTTTAGCTCATACGTCAGCAGTTTCATGGCCAGCTGCTCGTCCTGCTTGTAGGACTGGTCCAGGAGCTCCACGGCCAGCTGGCCAAAGTCCCTGAGAAAGAGAATGTGAGGAGTTGTCTTTTGGCCTTCTTGGAGACTTAGATGATGAAAGTGGGGACCCACTGGCCAAGCCACAAAAGGTGGTTGCTGTGTGGTCTAGTTGTTTCTTATGGGTCTAGTCTGTTCATTCACTCCTCCAGCCAAACATCCATTAAGCATCTACTATGTGCCAGATACTGTGTTTAGAACCCGGGGTGTAAGTTAAAGAAGGTACGATCCCTGCACTCAAGGCCCCCAGTTCGAGCATATGGATAGGGAGGCTGACCAATAAATCAATGGTTAGAGTGAGTCTTCTCAAAGGTGACAGTCTGAGCCTTGTCAACCGCAAGTGTGTGATCTTGAATGAATGAAGTTCTCTGAGCCTCATTCTCTTCCGCTGTAAAATATGCGTAATAAGAGTACCTACCTCTTGGGGCAGTTGAGAGGATGAAATGAAATCTTCTATGTATCTGTATGTAGCTCTGTATCTAGCACTCTGCCCCGTAAACATTCATTATTCACGTCCACCCCCTATGTGTACCATTGGGTGATACTGCCTTCCCTTAAAGTTTTGGGTAGCTCAGACCCTCCAGTACTTGGGGCCCACCTTCCCTTCTCTGCCCTTGACCACCCCATTTGCTGGGCTGGCCAACCTGGAGTTGTGGTTCAGCTCCTGGGAGATGTCATCGACCATGTCATTCTCGGAAGCCTCGTGCGCCATGGCTTTACAGAGCTTGCAGGCCACCAGGGCCTTGGCCATGGCCTCCTCGCCGTGCTGCCAGAAGAACAGGGCCATCTTCTGTCGCTTCATCAGGACGGCCCATACCATCAGCTCGTGGAAAGGGAAAGGGAAGTGGTTGATCTCAGGGTCATCCAAGTCAATGTCCACCTCTTCTTCACGCTTCTTGGTTGTCTTTCTTCCTCGCCTCAAGGGAACATCGTCCTGTAATTTCAGGGAAAAGACACAGAGGTGGAGTTAGAAATGAATCACGTCAACTTATAAATAGTTATTGCCTGTCTACTACTGGCCCAGCTCTGAGACAGATACAGAAATGAACTATCCTATTCCAACTCCTATCCTAAATGAGCTTACAAGCTCCTATATGCCTAAGTGTTAAAAAAGTTATAATAAATGCATAACCGCAGTCCGAAGGGAACATGTCAGTGTTGTACTTTAATTAAAAAAATATTTTTTAATGGACTATTTTCTTTTTACTTTTGTCCTTTTTTTTTTCCGTACAGGTTGGGTTATTGGTACCTCATGATGGACAGTGCTACCCTTTTCCTTGAAAGGATAAGGATATCCTATACTTGCATTTGCATATATGATAATAACCACATGAGCCAAAGATGGGAAACAGATCACCTCTCTCCAGTTTCTGCACACCTCATTAGATACATTGGTGAAGTATTTCTGGCCTTTGGATCTGTCGCCATTTGTAAACACCCATGAAGAGATTCCACTGACTGGAATTTATACGCTTCCTTGGTTTTCAAGTTAGTTAGTATTTCAAATAGGATTTATTTTTCTTGTTTGCAACGTTAATTTAACCTCATGGTGGAATTTTCAAAGCTGCAGTGACCTGCCCCGTGACGCTGGGAAAAATTTTACTTCCTCATTTTATAATCTTGTATAAGCCCTACCACGGAAGTGATTTTATGTATTTTTAAAAAATGTGTAATAAAGAAAATAAATAATTGACACTAAGAATTTGAGCAAACACTTACCTCCATTCCCAGCAGCTTCAAGGCTTTGGGCTGTTAAAAAAAAATGTTATGTGTAAAGTTAGATCTTTCTTTACAGAGGTAAGAAAAAATCCTACTATGTTTTAAACAAGTAATGGAACAAATCTATTGTACCACATAACATCTATTCATTTCACTACACAAAGCCCCACAGGGCAATGTATTTGTAGAAAGTCTAAGAGAATTAGGGATTTAGTGATTTTCCTGAAACACAGAGGATTAGGAAACTGGAGAAGCATAATGAGATTGCCCAAGGGCAGAGCCAGCAGGTTTATAATCTCTTTTGTGGACCAAGATTACTTCCATCTTCCTAGAACCATCCTGCTTGCCTGACTTCTCTATGACATCAAGCACTTGGGTGAGCAAAACGTTCAATCAAACCATCAGATGTTTCTCAAGCCTCTGAAAGACCTCTATTATCTAGAGACTTGGGATATTATTTAGAAACAGGTTTAGATGCTTCATACTGACCATCTCTCCATGTTGCTGCTCAGTAGAGCAAAGGTGAGTGGGGCCAGAGGGGTATGTGCTGATGGTGGCAAAAGGCGCTCAATGCTCAAGTGTCAGCATGTAACAGCAGCATCATTGGTCATGCTGGGAATGTGCAAAACAGGCACAGATCAAGACGGAGAGAGAAGGTAACTCAGCAAATTGCAGCCCCTGACTTATATTTATCAAGGGGAGATACAAAATTACATCTCAAGGGTCAGGAATTCCAATTCTATGTTTTAAGTATTACAGAATGGTTGGGTGCCATCTTGAAAGTTATTTGAGTACACAGTTAGGTTACAGCACTTACAGTTCCTCCAAATTTTATTTGACCATTCAAGTAGGAGTAACTTGAACCTTGTCTCTCTCTCTTTGTTTCTCTTTTAGCTTCTAAAATGACCATTAGTTGAAATTTGTGTGATTTTGTGTTCTTATTTATACTTTTTGGTGTTTTCAAAGTTCTAGCATCACAAAATACTTTCATAATCAAAAGATAAGCTTTGTTAAAAATAAAAATCATGCCCACCACCAGCTAGTGCAGCAGTTTTCAAAATGTGGTCCATGGACCATGCGACTCTTCCAGGGAGGTCTGTGAAGTCAAAGCCATATTCATAATAATACTAAGATGTTATTTGGTTTTGACACTGTGTGAACTTTTGCACTAATGGTGCAAAAGTAATGGTGAATAAAACTTCTGGGTGCCTTAGTCAGAATGAAGGAAGTGGTACCAAACTTTATTAGTTGTCATTAGATTTCACTGTTATGTACTTGAAGTTTTACAAAAATAAAGCCAGTTTCACTCAAGAATGTCCTTGATGAGGCCTAAAAAATTAACTTTATTAGATCTCTACCCTTGATAATACAAATGTCTTTTTACTATTCTGAGGGATGAAATGGGACGTATACTTCTGTTACATACTGAACTATGATGAGTTGTCCTGAGGAAAAACACTTATGTGTCCATTTGGATTGAATCATGGCCACTTTGTTTCAAGGACTCTACTTGAAGGAAAGACTGGCAGACAAGTTATGGTTATTCAGACTTGGATCTTGGCAGACATTATTGGAAATGAACAAAGTGGGACTGTCATTTCAAGGAAAACAACTGACCATATTGGTTGCCAATCACAAAATTCAAACTTTCAGGCAAAAATTAGAATTTTGGAAAACTTGTCCTCCCCCACCCCATGATCTTGACAGTTTTTCAGTACTTAAAGTCTTTTCTGCTGAGATTGGAGGTGATAATGATTGTGAGTTTTTGAAATTGTATAATGAAATGTGTCAACATTCAGAAGATGTGCATAACTCAACATGTTACCATGTGCCAGTATGGTACAGTATAATAATGTACTAGCATTTTACAATCTACGATGTTACAAGATCCATACAAAGTGCAAGATATGGTTTTAATGTAACAAAATATAACAGTATGAAAAGTTCATTGAGGCGGTTTCAGATTTCACATTGCAACTAATCTTTAAGAAATTCCCACTTGTTGAATTTTGATGTAGTATCAAAAAATAATATGTACAACTATCTGTAAAGATTATCAGAATACTCCTTTCTTTTTTTGGATATATTTGTCGTATTCGTCACATATTTGTGTGAGGTCAGATTTTCTTCATATACTTCAACCAAAACAGCATCTCACAAAAGGGTGAATGCAGAAGTAGACCTGAGAATCTAGCTGTCTTCTGTTAAAGCAGACATTACAGAAATTTGCAAAAAATGTAAAACGTTGCTACTCAATTTTTGTTTTTGAAAATAGTTATTTTTCACATTTATGTTCGCATGTAATGGGTTTCTTATGGCTATCTTAAAACGAATAAATATTTTTAAAGTCAATTTTTAATTTCTGATATGATAAATGTTGATAGAACTCATATAGATAAAAGGTTTTTGGTGTCCTCAATAATTCTTAAAGGTATAAACAGATCCCAAGACCAAAAACCTTAAAAACTGCTGAGGTAGATAAGATTAATTGGAATATCATTATCAGCCCCTGATCACTAAGGCTGCCTCTTAGTGCCAGTTTCTGATTTGAACTGGACCTAGTGAGGAAAAGATACGCGCGTATCACCCAATACGTTCCTTTTTTAAAAAAATGGATTTGACGGCGGCAGGAAGAGGCGGGGCAGCTGCCTTCTCATCTCATCTCCTCCTTGGAGACAAGGAAGTTACACCCCAAATCCCTCGCACCCCAGTCCCCAGGAATCCAGGAAACGGAACCCGCTACAAGCCTCACCCTCTTGGGGCCGAAGAGGTTGTGGTAGAGCGTCCGGAAGCGCTTGCGCGTGTAGTTGCAGCGGTAGGCGCCGCCCATCAGGTACTCGATCACCAGGCCGATGTCGATCAGGCTGATTCTGTAGTCCGGGGGCAGGTTCCCCTACCAGGGAAGAACGAAACAAACAAACAAACAAATCCAGAAGACAGCGTGGTTTACTAAGGATTCTATTCCATGGGTTCTGTAACTATTTTAGAGTAAAAAAAAAAGATAATTGAAAAAGAAACATATGAATGTATTATTATGCTGGTTAATTGATTCACCTTAAAATAGATCCAACCGAAACCTGGGTATTCTCGCTTGGAAAGAAGACATAAGTTAAATAAGAAGATGCAGTAATCGTCGGCAATAACAGAAAATCAAAATATTTATTCAAGTCTTCAGCTGGGGAGAAAAAAACACCAGTGTAGCAGAAAGAAACACAAGGCTAGACATGGCAAGTGCTATCGCTCCCAGCCACTAGGAACTGGGTTCCCCGGATGTCCCCCGTGGAACCCCCTCGGACCCCCTCGCTGCTCTGCCCCTGACCCAGGCTTGTGAGTACCGTCTTGCCCATCATTTATCTCTTCACACTCACTAAATGAAGACTCCTTCCAGAAGATGGCTGTTATTACCAGGGTCTGCAGTGGGTGCGATATGCTTTAGAGCTCAGTGTCCTTTATACAAAATCTCTATCACCAATTTAAAAAATTGGCACCTTTTTCATAAAAGGAGAGCGGGATGGATGTCAGGATGAAGTCATTTGTGAACATCCCTTGTGTTTAAAGAGAAGGGGGAGGAGTCAGAGAAGAAATTTTATTAGTGGAATATTTATTTTCCCAGAATTAAGGAGGTTTTTCAGATTTTCTTTCAAAGAAAATAGTGCTTCTTAAAGACCTAGAATTATGGTGTATCTTTTAGCTGTTTGCCGTATATAGATGCAAAAACAGAAGAGTTTTTATGGTGATCTACTCATTACTGGTTTCTGCTTCAAGAAGCAGCTCTGTAGGGTCTAAGGAAAATCCTTGCTCTGTTAGGTCGAGGAAGAATTAGTCCCACTGTGGGAAATTCTGAGCGCACAGTGAGTTCCGAAGGGCGTGATTGATCGCCTCTCACCGTCTGCTTCAGCTCCTTAAGGAAAGCGCCTGCTCCATACCAGGAGTGGTGGGGGTACCACACCATGTAGGAAGCCTGGTGCACTGTGTCCTTGGATATATTTTGGAGAGGCATGAGGGCCTTGTCCACATTTGTCCTTAATGGAGGACATGGCAGGATGCTGTATGAGATTTCTGCCACTTCACAGAAGTGGCTCCTAGCAATAGTGGTGGTTCTCTAACTTGGGTGGCATCAGAATCACCTGGGGAATTTGGTGACAGCACAAAGGCCTGGACCCTGTCCTGCTTCAGTGTTTGGGCCTCTATGCGCTTTATCAGCTCTCCAGGCGATTCCGATGTACACCAACGTCTGTGGACCTGCTGGTCTACTAAGTAAGGTGGGGTTACGCCACAGCTCAGGAAATGCATAGTGTATAAAGGTAATCACCTTATTAGGGAATTAGCTCAAGTTGTTTTGCTAAACTGAGGCTAGATTTCCAGTTATCCTTACTCAGCTTTATCTATGCTCAATGGCATCCATTCGAAGGGTTTGGGATTCAGGGTTAGAGGTGGCCCACTGTATCCTACCATCAAACCGATAGCTTTATATTTTTAATTGTTTTATTTATCTTTGTGTTCCCAGTGCCTTTTATAGTCCTGGTGTATGGTAGGCATTCAGAATGTTTTTTGTTGTTGTTGAAAATGTGAATGAGTAAAACAGTAAAATTAATTGATGTGCTTGGGATGAAGTCTCAGTTTGGGAATTTTCAATATTATGTTCTCAGTCACAGAACTAACTAGCCACAGGCTGAGTCACCCCGGGAGAGCCCTAGTTCGCTGTGGAAGTTTGATTTGCAACGAGTATGGCTATATTCTCAAAGGAGTAGGCATGAAGGGACAGCAATTGCAGCCCCAGCCTCAAGCGTATGAGACCCCAGTGCTGTCCCCAAACTTACTTCCCAGCCCCGTCTCTCAGGTTCTACCTTTCCCTTGGCTTGGGGCACAAGGCCAACTTGGGGATCTAATTTGAGTGGTGGAGCAAAATGGGACTGCGTGAAGGGCCTCATATCTGAAGTGTGAGCACTTTGAGGCACAGAACCCCTCCCCTCCTTGACCGTAGCCCATCAGAACCCAATCTGAGATCCATTTCATCAGCTGAATTGTCCCGTCACAGGAAGGGTCTCTACTCTCCTCCCCACCTGTCTCTGAATTTTGAAATCTCCTTTGTTTAAAGATTATCTCATCAATCCAGCTGAATCGCCAAATTAAGCTATCCTCAGGCTAAGACCAATTGTCTGACTTCTTTATGCAAAGTGTGGCAAAAATATAAAAAAGGGAACTTAGAGAAAGTTTTATTTTAAGATAGCAACTTTTCATATATTGTCCTTTCCATAGACATTAAACTGAGTTTAAAAATACTACTCATGCAACCACTTTTCTTCATTATCTTGGAACAGGTCAATAAGGGGCAGTTTCTGTACCATCTGCTCTACCAGACCATTAGGCAAGGCTGTTATTTAAAGAGTAGAAGAGCTCCTGAGCAGGGGCATGCCTGGGTCAGCTACATCTCATTTACACTTGGCCCCTGTAAGGATGACCTCCAGAGGACGCCCACCCCATCTCTCCTTTTCCTTGGCTCTGTGAGGCAGGCAGGCAGGCTAAAGAAGACTGGCTATGAGTCAGCTGCCCGGAACTTCTGTCTGTCCTTCTCAAATTGGCTTCTTTCTCTCAAGGCCTCAGTTTTCTTCCTAATAAAAGGGGTTGAACTCCATGTATGGTCTGTACTGCTCAAGTACCAGGTTTTGGAAAAATCCCCAAAGGATTTATTGTAATGCAATTGAAAGGCAATCATAGCAGGTCTATGAATTTGTGTCAATTTTTAATCTTGTAAGAATTTTCTGAATTTAAAACGTGGGTAATAGTGAGCTTAATACCTACATATTTTCTTTGGAGAAACCTATGTGTGAGCATCAGTTTGAATTCTAAGAACGAGAACCAGTATTGCCGAAGACTACTACTGAATGGCGATAGTTATGCTTTTGAGGTGTCTGTAAATGTGGGGTTGTCAGGGAAGTGATAATAGTAAAATTCAAAATACTAAATAAACATTTAAGATGGGCAAATAAAATATTTTTTGCAAACGACTATTCATAAAGGGCTGTTAGGTTTATATACTACCAAAAAAGGTGCTGGGATCTTCTTTTTCTAGAAGCTTATCATATAAAGCTTGATTATTACAGAGTGACGGAGTGATTGATGTATGATCTGGTCTGAGGCAGGAGAAAGGATTTGGTTACCGCTCTGGGTTTTACCCAGCGTTGAGTGCAAGGAACTGACTTGCATTCTGTGTGACCACAAGGGGGCGATGTTCACCTAGCCGAAGCCCCTGAGGGCTCTTCCCTCACCTGTGTTTACCTGCCTGTTCCATCTGTACTAAGGCGATGTAAGGAATACACAGCTGACTGGAGGATTTGGGGATAAGGAGAGAGTCAGATGCTCTTGTTGAAGCGATATCTGGAGGAGGGAAAGCTTACTTTACCAAATAATGTGTTTGAACTCAGCCTGTAAGACTGCTTGCATCTGTTGCTTTCCAGAGGTTTTTGGAGCAGAGAAATTCAGGGAAATTGGTTTTACAATTTTTCCTAGGAAGAGTGGAAACCTTAGGGGAAGAAGAAGTAGATTTCATAAAATTAATAAAATTGGGTACACTTTAGGCCTCTTGGGAGGACTGTGTCCTGGGTGGACTCTGAAGGGGATGGCAGCCTTGGTGCATGTTTGAGGTGCTGGGCTGATGGCCTTGATCATCTGTGACCTGCACATGTCACTGATGTGCAGAGAACAGCCAGCAACACGACCCGCCATGGAAATAGCACTGGGCTGAACTGTGGTCCTGGCTGTGTGCCCCTTGTGGCCCTGGACAGGTCACCTCCTTTCTCCGTACTTCAGTCCATGCTCTGAAAACAGGCAATCTGGACACAGTTATTGCTAAGGTCCTATTTCTGCAGGTCCAATTGTAGGATCACTACCTGGCAGGCTGCTCTTTCTCTGCTGCCAGGTCACTGGGCAAGGACCCCCATCCACAGCTCCCAGGGTTGATGTAATTTCCAATAATCCCCTGGGGTTTGGCTAGTGGAGATGGGGACTCAGAGACAAGGGATGGTAAAGGAATAGACAGGGATGGGGGTGTGCTCATCACATCCGCTTCCTCTGGAAAGAGCAGAGAAAGTGAACGGCACCTCACATACCAACAGGTAATGACCAAAAACCTTCTGAAGGAGTCTTCCTTCTCTTGCGTCCTTTTAAAATAGGACATCAGAAACGATACTGGAGGAACATTCATTCTGCCTGCTGTTCCTCTCATTTCCCCCCTCCCCTTTTTGGTAATTACTTTGGTAATTGGTAAAGCCTGAACACTTAGTTCCCATTTCATGCCTTAACAACACATGGCAAGCCACATGATTCAAATCATTTGATCCACAGCATAAAATAGGCTTGGATCTATAGGTGGGTACAACTGACAACTTGAAAACTTTGTTTCCTTTTCTCATGCTATGGGCTGCTACTCTCGAGCTAAATTTTAATCCATGCCATGCCTAAGGATGTCTTTTAATCTAAAGAACAGTTTAAATTCACTTATTACATCTCCTCTAAATGTTCTCTGTTTTCAGATGTCGGCTCATGATATGATTATCAGATTTCAGCTGTTGAGGAAACCTTTTTTTTCTTTGAAGCTCGTAACAAGCCTTCAAAATAAGATTGTTTCCTTCTGATGTATGTGAGCTGTAAAATGATTGCTGGTTGTCAGGTTTAGCAAGGGAGAGTAGGGAAAAGACCATCTTGGTGAGAATTCACGGGAGAAGAGGACCTCCCCCGAGGTTTGGCATGGTGGTAGACTGGGCAATTAGTCCTTAAAAAAATAAGAAGCCTTTGCAAATTTGCTTGAATTTAGCAGATGGGATTATGAAAATGTCCTTTCTATACCCAAAGTGTGTCTGAAATGCTTTTTTTCTTTTCATTCTGCAAAGCTCTGGGTCTTGATTCCCATGTAAGTGAGCTTTAAATTATCATCATTTCACCGCTACTTCTATATAATACTCAAATACCACCCTCCTTGGATGGGGAGGGGTAGTCTAGGTATCTGAAGTATTAGCACATTTAAGAAAGAAAAACTACTGCTTTAAAACATACAGAGGCACAGATTGAGCAGACAGTTAGCTACTAAAATGGCAAGTTAGATCCACGGAGAAGCAGACAGACTCGAGCCGCTCTGGTTTAATGCGAGAGCATTGGTACATCCAATGGATTTATGCATGGAAACAGTTCAGGGAGTGCGGTTGGCTTGTATTGCTTTAAATTTCTGATTGATGCTGAATAGCAACTCCTTTACCCCATTGCTCCTAGATTATTCCCTTGATATAAACAATTTGAGATTTTGAAATTAGCTTGGGAGCAGTTTTCCACGTTCAATTCTGTTGGTTTCAAAGGCTAGCTGGACTCAGAGATGTCAGGCTGGGCAACTTACAAGGGTCTGACCATTCCTAAATGCATTCTCTGGGTTCATAAGAGTTATTTATATTTAATTTTACAAGCATCTGATTAAACACTATGTTTAAGGTCCAGAACTGTGTTCCTTAACTTATGAACGGCATTTTGTATCAAGACTTATCACTGATTAATTTTTTGCCACAGATTAAATCAATTAATATGTATGTAAAGTCCTATAATCATAAAGCACAAAGCACATGCTAATTATTACTATGTTCCTGAATTTTGAAAATTGCTTCAACTGGCCAAGATTTTCTTAGCATTTTAAACATAGTTTTTGTAGACTTTGTACATGTAATTGGCCTAAATTGCTGGAAGTTATCTGGAACCATCTGAGGAAGATGTACACCAACATTAATTTCTCTCTCAGTCACTGCTTAAAAAACATAAGCAAAACCCCTCATTTGCAGCTCTCTTCGTCCATATAACATGAAATGTAGACAGTCCCAGCTCCTTTGGCTGCATTGCTATTCTTTCTCACTCTCCAATAGTCAGACGCTCACCTCTGTCATAGAAATAAACGGAGTCTGTGCTTCCTGCTGCTGTTTCTTCCCAGGGGAGGAAACTAAACTCAGCCTTCTCGTCCCTCCCCACCTTATTAGTAAAAGGATAAATCGTTCCTAAGCCAGTTCAGTCCTATCCTGGGCGATCTGTTATCATTTATTCCAGTCACTAAATTATTAGTCAGTAAATGAATCCTTATGTAACTATCTTCTTGCTCCAGTATTTGGATCACACTTAAAAGAAAAATAAAACTGCTGCTCACTAATACTCCTTCTTCGCAAATTCTTACCCTCCTCTTCTTTCTTGTTAGTCTCTATTATTTTTGAGTTACATCTTTAGCTAAGAAGTTTTTTTTAAAAAACCCCTACCTTAAAAATATCTACATGACTTCTAATACAAGCAAAGTGAGTAAATGTAAGAGGCAAGTAAAGGGATCAGAAAAGAGACAATGGTACTGCAGAGCAGAGTCCTACAAGGAAGAGACCTAAGAGAGGAATTTTGATCTTTACACTCAGTGAAATCGAACTGCAAAAGTCCCTTTGAAAATCAGGCCAGACACTGAGACACTGGGTGATGGAGGTGGATGGGTGGCTTGGATTGGCCGGTCGCTGGCATGAGGGACCAACGTGTGGCTGTTTCCGCACAGATGCTCACAGTTCCTTCAGCGACACCGACTAGCTTCGGGTGAGGCTGATAATATTTATTGTTTTTGAAAAACTCAAGACATTTTATTGAACACGAGCAACAAATGACCTGACACAGAGTACATGTTGGATGTGTACACTTAATCTTCCGAGATACTTGCCCTGTTTAGTTTGCAGGCAATTTTAAGCCAGGATAAATTAAACAAAATTGGAAGACCTGAGGGAAAGAGAAAAGGGTTTTGCTGAGGGCAGGTGTGCTTATGGCTGGAAGCGGGGCAGACTAAGGAAAGATGGGATCTAGGTAAATAATTGTGGGGTCGGACGTACAGATTGCACAGCATCTGCTTCCCTTGCTTTGAAAGAGCTACAGGCTTCACTCACTCACACAGATGAAAAATCCTTTGTTCAGGTTGTGTGGAGATGGGAGGAAAGTTTCAAAGGGTCAAAAGAAGGAGGGTTTTCTTCTTTGTATCTGTTACTCATTACTAGCAAAGGTCCAGCTGGCTAATAAGAACATTATAAGCAGCCCCAGGGCCTTTGCTTGACCTTTCAAAGGAAAAATTTAACAAGTGGCTACAGAAAACTTGAAGCCAATGTTCTAGCCAATGACTTCCTACAAGAGGATGGAACTGTACTCTATTTTTGATCTCACTTTGTAGCTTTCTCCGAGTATATTCTGTGGACTCTGGTGAGGAATTGCTACACATCGGTAGGTGTGGATACCTGTGTGTCTGTGTGCCTACGTGTACATGCATATGTGTATCGGGTCGGGGAAGTGCCACCATCTATTTTATCTTTTGGAGTTAAAACATCACTTTCTGGGATCGCTGTCAAGGTTTTGGAACCGAAGTAACCTCTGAAAGAGACTATATGGGGCAAGAGAACAAGCACTTGGTTAAGATTAAACATAAGCTTCATGTGCCTCTCTCTTTTCATCTATAAATGGGAATAACACTATATGATAATAAAATAATAATTCTACTTTATAGAATAGTAGTAAAGATGAAATGAGCTGAGACGTATAGAAAGCTTAGATTAGTGTCACGCACCTAGTCATCACTGAATCTTAGTACTGTCATTTTATTATCAACCAAAGGATCTGAGTTCTAATCCCAGCTCTTCACTAACCTCTTAATATAGTTCTCACCTCCTTGTATTTCATCCTTCTCCTCTGTAAAATGGGAATAAATCTACATGATCCAAACCTACTGGCTTTTTTTCCCCCTATCGAATTAGACGATGAACGTGAAAAAGTATACTGGAAAAAATAAAGTGTTAGCAGGATGGAATGCACATATGTATTTTAGCTGCTGCTGCTCTGCGAACTTTTTGAGCTGTGTTTACTCCACCCTGTATAATGCCAGACGTGACAGTGACACGTTGCATCAGGAGCTGGTAAGTAAAGATACCTTCTATGGTCAGTCGGACAGATGGAAACTGGCTCCCCAAACAGTGAGGGCCTATGAAAAATACAGGTAATGGCATAAATCCACACGGCATGGGAGAAAGCCTAGAGTTCCACTATCCAAAAGCAGTATGTCCAATGAAAGCATCCCCACCACGGAGACTGGAGGTAGGCCCGCAGCTGCGTTGTAAGCAGAGATGTCAGAGTGAGAAGACAGACACACAGGCTGTGTCCTGAAATGAGGGGGGTCTGGCGGGGGCAGGAATATTCCGGCAGCTCATGCAAAACAGAGGCGCTTTCTAATCACAGGAAGCAGTCAAGACAGGGCCTCCGACCTGCGGTCGAGAGGGTTCTTACCTTTTTGACATCCCTGACCAAGTGGTACAATGTGTTTGAGGGCCCATGTCTCTGAAAACAATAAAGAAGAATCAAATGGTTTTGCTAGTCAAGGGGCTCTCATTGGCAAGGCAGGAAGGATCTGGAAGGAAGGGTTCTGGCTGGTGGAGGGGCAGTTCGTTAAGGTGAACCTTGTTGTAGTTGCTCAGTTGTACTCATCTTTTCTAAACAAACACACTGGCAGATTTTGGATTGTGGTTCCTCAAGAAAAGCCCTTGGAGGTTCCAGGATCAAACTGTATCAAGGAGGTCATCAACGGTGTTGACAGCTGGGCCAAAACACCTCTTAAAAGGCTCGTTGTGCAGCAGGGGGAGACAAAGGGGTCAATTTACTGTGTTGGAAAGAAATATGCTTTGGCACATTGCCAATCCCAACTGGTTTATTACCCATAATGAATGAGAAATTGTCTAAAGCAAGGGTTGGCAAACTTTTTCTGTAAATAGCCAGGTAGTCAACATTTTAGACTTTGTGGACCATCCAGTATTCATCGTAACTGTTCTACTCTGCTGTTGTGCAAAAGTAGCCAGAAACAATACATCAACAAATGAGCTTGCCTGTGTTTCAATAAAACTTTACTTTTGGACACTGAAAGAGAGTCAAATTTCAAATAAATTCAGCATGTCACAAAATATCATCCTTCTTTTGATTATTTTCAACCATTAGAAAATGTAAAAAACCATTCTTAGCTTGCAGGCCATACAAAAACAGGCACCAGGCTGGATTTGGCCCTTGGAAGTTGATGGTAGTTTGCTAAAATCTGGTCTAAAGAAAAAGCCACAGGCTATTTGGGAAAAAGAGAGCCTTGGGGACCAGATGTATGTTTGTTTAAGGTAAGAATAAACTGAAATGGCTTGCTATCCTATTGTCTTTTAGGAATAGAAATGCTAGATAAAATATAGGATGCCCAGTTAAATTTGCGTTCCAGACAGACAATGAATAATGTCTAATATAAATATGTCCCATGCAATATTTGGGGCATCCTTATACTAAAGATTATTTGTTGTTTATCTGAATTCAGATTTAACTGGGCATCCTGTATTTTTATTTGCTCACTAAGGGACCCTATTGGAGGATCTCAGTGATGGCAAATCCTTCAGCATGGTTGGAAGACTCTCAGGGACTGAGACAATGCCTGTGGCTGCCTCAGCTACCTGCCCATTCCATGAACTTTTTCCACTGAGGGATGCAGTATTGTGTGGGGATTAAACAAGCAGACTCGAGTCCGATGTGTGGCTCCACGCCTGGCTCTGCTGCTGACCAGCTGTGACCAGGGGCAAGCTACTTAACTGTGACTCAGTCTTAGCATCTCTAAAATGAGGAAAATAATACCACTTATCTGATAGGGTTTTTGTGAGGATTAAATGATGAAATGCTTATAAAGCTAGGAAAGCAGTGCTTAGCACTCAGTAAATGTCAGCTATTACTATTCCTGAGGCCGTTCATGGTCCCATCATCCTTCTCAACAGAGTTCTCCAGGGAACCATCTCACATTGATTGGAGTGAGGAAATTTATTGGCCTGTCTTGATCTAGAACTTTCCTACTTACTTCTTTCCAATCCTTGGAATAAATCACTCTACTCCCTTGATTCTCTAATTCACAAGCAAGTCATTCAACTCTGTGTTTTATTTCATGTACTTATTTTACTGAAAACCTCACTATTCTTTTTTTGGTCAGCTTTATTGAGACATAATTGACATAGAACATCGTGTAAGTTTAAGGTGTACAATGTGATGAGGTCATAGTTGTATATATTGTGAAATGTTTATCACGATAAGGTTAGTTAACGTATCCTTCACTTCACATAATTACCCTTTTGTTGTTGCTGTGTTGAGAAAATTAAAGCTCTACTCTCGTAGCAGCATTCAAGCTTACAATACAGTAATGTTAGCTACAGTCACCAAGCTGTTCATTAGATCTCTGGAACTTACTCATCTTATAACTGAAACTTTGTAGCCTTGGCCAATGTCTCTTCATTTCCCCGACCCCTCAACCCCCAATTTTTTGAAGAACCTCCACATTGTTTTTTATATTTGTCTCCCTTGTCAAATATTAGTTGACCATGTATGTGTGGGTTTACTGTGAGCTCTCGATTCTGTTCCATTGGTCTATGTATCTTTTTTTATACCAGCACCATACTGTTTTGATGACTATAGCTTTGTGATATAGTTTGAAATCAGGAAGTGTGATGCCTCCAGCTTTGCTCATTTTAAGATTGCTTTGGCTATTTAGGGTCTTCCGTGGTTTCATGTGAATTTTAGGATTGTTTTTTCTATTTCTGTGAAAAATGCCATTGAAATTTTGAAAGCGATGGCATTGAATCTATAGATGGCTTTGAGTACTATAGACATTTTAGCAATATTAACACTTCTAATTCATGAACATGGGGCATCTTTCCATTTATTTGTCTTTTTCAATTTCTTTCATCAATGTCTTATAGTTTTCGGTGTATAGATCCTTTCACTTATTTGGTTAAATTTATTCTTAGGTATTTTATTGTTTTTGATGCTATTGTAAATGGGATTGTTTTCTTTATTTCTTTTTCAGATAGTTCATTGTTAGTGTATAGAAATGCAACTGACTTTTGTATGTTGATTTTGTATCCTGAAACTTTACTGAATTAGTTTATTAGTGGTAACAGTTTTTTGGTGGCGTCTTTAGGATTTTCTATATACAAGAGTACGTTACCAGAAAACCTCTTTCTTTCCAATTTGGATGCCTTTTATTTCCTGCTCTTGCCTAACTGCTCTGGTGAGGACTTCCAGCGCAATGTTGAATAGGAGTGGTGAGAGTGGGCACCATTGTCTTATTCCTGATCTTAGAGGGAAAGCCTTCAGCTTTCACCACATGAGTATGATGTTAGCTGTGGGCTTGTCGTATGTGGCCTTTATTATGTAGAGGTGTGCTCCTTCTGTACACAGTTGTTGAGAGTTTTGACCGTGAAATGATATTGAATTTTGTCAAATGCTTTTTCTGCATCTATCGAGATGATCATATGACTTTTGTCTTTCATTCTATTAATGCACTGTATCACATTTATTGATTTGCATATGCTGAACCATCCTCGCATCTGGGGATGAATCCCACGTGCTCATGGTGAGTGATCTTTTTAATGTGCTGCTGAATTTGGTTCACCTGTATTTTATTGAGAATTTTGCATCCATTTCATCAGGGATATTGACCTGTAGTTTTCTTTTCTTGTAGTGTCCTTATCTGGCTTTGGTATCAGGGTAATGCTGGCCTCCTAAAATGAGTTTGGGAGTGTTCCCTCCTCTTTAATTTTTTTTAAGAGTTGGAAAAGAATTGGAGTCAATTCTTTAAATGTTTGGTAGAATTTACGTGCAAAGCCATCTGGTTCTGGGCTTTTCTTTGTTGGGAGGTTTTGGATACTGATTTAGTCTCCATCCTTGTCATTGGTCTGTTTGAATTTGCTTGTTCTTCATGATTCAGACTTGGTAGATCATATGTTTGTAGGAATTTATCCATTTCTTTTATGGTAATTGTTGGTCTTTTTGGGGAGGTGCAAGCTGGAGCATCCTACTCCACCACTTTGGCCCATTATTCTTACTGAAAGTCTCAATATGCTGAACCAAGAAAAATCGAGAAAACAGAAACCTGGAGCCATCCTGCCAACCTGTTTTCTCCTTCCAGCAGTGGGAATGAGATAGAGCCAGGATGCCACCAGCTAACACCTACCACTGGCTGTGGACAGGTCAATAAGTTCCTTCTCCTTAGTGCTGTGGGTGGTGTGACAGAAGCAATGTGACATGTGAGGGGAAAGATCATCTCTGTGACAGGAGCTTTGGTTCAGTACTGGCTTTTTTCTTGACTTAGGAGTTTTGTGACCTTGAATAAACCAATTCACTTCCTGGCCTCAGTTTTCTCCTCTGTAAAATGGGGGAATACAATATCTACTCTTTAACCTTCATTGGATTTTGCTGAGTATCAGCTCAGAGAGCTCAGAACCAATGTACTTAACTCATGGAATACTCTCCAAAACTTCATAAATAGTAGTTTTTCTTGTGATCACTTCTTGGTATCTCTAGTGAATGAATGAACAAATAATTATAAAACAAAACAAAAAATATTTTGGGGTAACTCCAAACAAGAGGTATTTTGTGTTTTATTCTATTATGGTGGAAAAGGAAAGAACTTCATAGTTCTGAGGATAACAAGATGGTGCAGGATAGTTAATTGGCCTCCTTTGATGCTTGGAGTTAAATGAATCCTCCTCGTTGATTGCCTCAGACACCCTCGGGGCTCACAGAATAAACTGTGTTCTAATTTCCAGAGCCTCGTGGTTTTGTGTAAGAATCTGAGAATGTTGCATTTGGTGACCCCATAACTTTCTGCCTTAGATGCTGACAACTGAGCAGTTAAAACAAGAGGAATCTCGGTGACTTGGTGTTTGTTGTCTACTCAGGACTAAGGGAGCATTTGTGAAAAGTGGTCCATGCATTTGGAGGGGAGGAAGGAGACTCACAGGCATGTGGGGGCGGGAGAAGGTAAGACAAAAAACGTAGAGAAAATGAAAAGTGCCTTAGCTTGGTCCTACCGTATTGTACAATTCCTCTAGTCTGGAGATGGTGAGAAAACGGTGCATGCTTACTCCATTCTCGATCAGTAATTTCACAAAATCCACTCTGTCCAGAACCAGGGCATCCAACATGGCTTGCTCCAGAGACCCCACCTGCAAATCAAGTCATGAGTTAGGCTGCCCCGGGGTCTAGGGGTGCAGTGTTTTGGTGTTCGTCTGAACAGGTAAGACATGGATGCCTTTGACATCTGGTAAACCTTCAGCACATCAACACGCTAGCAAGACTGTTTCCAGCTGCACTGTTGGGACAGCCACAATCTCTCCTGTGTTTGGGGGCCTGTCTTTGCAAATAGAATTCAAAGATTTCTAGTTCCAAAAGCTATTTCCTCCTTGAATCTCTCTCTCTTTTTTTTTTTTTTTTGGTCTTGATCCTGAGAAAGTGCAAGGGTTTACAAGGCTTTTCCTCTCCCCACTCTGACCTAACTTCTGCAATACCCGTGAAGTGCCCAAGTGGGTGCTTTGCTGTCTTCATTTTCATCTTCCTTAGGCTGTGAATTGGACCCCTGGCTGACCTGAGAAGAGGGACCAAGTAAACAGACCAAAGGACCAAAATAGATGCTGGGTCTCTGTGTTGAAGTGGGTGAGATGGAGACGAGGTGGTATCACTTAACTAAAAAAAGAGCAGCTTACTTTCTGAATTTGTCACTGGCTAGGATTTTGATTCCTTTCACAAAAATTTCCCAGTGTCCAGACTCCTTGACAAATCTTTTCACATGAGCAATCCACCAGCAGCACTAAATGAAGACGGGACTTAATCCCAGGCAGAAGCTCTCCGGGGGAAAGGAATGGTTTAAAAAGACTTGGTCGTGAGAGTGTTGTACTTCAGTGGTTCCAGGCACAGAACTCAAATTTGAGGCTGTCGCTGCCTCCTGGGGATACACACATATACCACCCAATGGCCAATTTTCCAAGTTTTTATTTTTGGTAGAGTCAGTTGAGGGAAACAAACCAAGAACAGTTATATAAAGCTTTGGTTCCCTCTGTGCTGTTCTTGGGAATAAGGAGGACTTGTGCTCAGCCATCAGGACCAGATGGCATCTGCATGGGGAAGCCTGCTAATTCTGCATCCGGAGGTGCAACCCAGCCATACACCAGCACCGGATGCCACTGGTAGGAAGCAGCAACCTCAAAGACAATGAGAAACAAACGGCTAACTCCACTCATTCCTTAGTTTTAATTAATACAACTTTGTCTCATATAAATTTTTGGACACGTAGAAGAAATGGCATCACTGGCAGCTGAAAATTCCTATCAAAGGCCATTCAGAGATGGAAGTGTTTGCAACTTTTGGAGTTGTGCTTTGTCTCATCTTCCACTAGGTGGCAGTGTTTTCCTAACTATGAGAAAGGGAGCTGAGACCCCGGAATGCTCTAAAGGAATATTTCCATCCTAAAGAAAAGGCGGCAGTTTCCTGAGCAGTTCTCAGAGGCTCCTTGAACAAAAACCCTTGCCCAAGCAAGCGGGCTTTTCAGAGGTGACGACATATACTCTACCGGCCACTGTTGCCCATAAATAAAGATCTGGCTGCGAGCGATGTCGACTCTGTTCCAGGCTAAAGCTAAGCTCAGTTGGTCTGGGGCCGAGGCATTGGCTCCTGTGTGTAGAAAATAGGAGAAAAGAGCAGGAGAGAGAAAGCAATGATCAGTTATTAGACCAAGAAGACCCGCTCCATCACTCTCGCATCGACACCCGTCTCCCGAAGAGTAGACATAACTGTACAGCAGGGTTTCTCAAACTCGGTACTTTTGACATTTTGGGCAGGATAATTCTTTATCGTGGGGCTGTCCTGTAAGTGTAGTATATTTAGCAGCATACTACCACCCAGGAGATGCCAATAGCACCTTGCCCAAGACATGCCAATCAAAAATGTCTCCGGACATGGCCAAATTTCCCCAGGGATGAAGGGAGACAAAATCAGCCATTGAGAACCACTCGACAGTCTTGCTAGTGCAAGTGTGGCCCATGGAGCAGCAGCAGCAGCAGCAGCATCTGGGCACTTGTTAGCAATGCAGAACTTCAGGTCCCACACCGGAACTGCTGAATCAGAATCTATATATTAACAAGATCCCAGGTGATTCGAGAGCACATTAAAGTTTGAGAAGTGCTGCTCTGCAACACGTTTCTGCTGGCTAATCACTGGTTTCAAGGCATCTTTTGAATTGTATATTGCACCGCGATGGCCCCCTCATCAACTCCTGGGCCAGCTTTGCCACTCTATTGAGAAGGAGTTATGAAGATCGCTTAAGAGAAAGATGAATAAGTGGCTTAGGTTTACTTTGATTTGTGGCTAGAAACCATTGGAATAAATTTTCAGTTTCCCATTTTTCTCCAGACTCTGTGGCTAGACCGGCACTGTCCACTTGTGGCTATTTAAATCTGAATTAGTTAAAGAAAATGAAAACTTTAATTCCTCAGTTGCACCAGCCGCATTTCAAGGGCTCAAAGCCTCACCTGGTGGCTGGTGGCCTTTGAATTGGAGAGGAGAGACACAGAACATTACCATCAGCACGGAAAGTTCCACTGGGACGGAGTGGGTTGAGATCAATGTTTTCTGTCCATGAATGCAAACTGCCAAGCAGCTGGATGTGAAGCTGAGAATGCTAGGTGGAGAGAGTACTGGGCTACAGTCAGGGGACCTGAGTCTGCCATTTGATGGCTGTGTGACACTGGACCTCTCTAAGCCTCTGTTTTATCATCTGTGAAATGGGGACAATAAGGATTATCCTGTTTACTGGCTCAGATGAGAGACTAGAATGAGGTCATATCAATGAATTCACAATGTGAGCAGCGTTTTTGCAATTCATCAACACCCTTGGTGCACTGAACAGGGGACATGCTTAAATATTTGCCCGATTTCATGCTGCTGGATGTCCCACCACCAGGGGAGTAGGGGAAAGAGACAATACTATTACCTGCCTCAGATGTTTTGACTATCTAATGTGTCCTAGGCAATATATTAGGCACTTCTGCATGTTATCATATGTAATTTCCCAAATAATCCTGGGAATTGGGTCTTACTGTCTCCAGTTGACAGATGAAGATGCTGAGGTCCCCAGAGGTCAAAGGTAAACGGCTACTAACAGGGGGTAAAGAGAACAAGCGTTCATCATGCCAGAGGTGAGTTTTTCCTTCATTCCATCACTGCTGACTCTGATGTTTGTGAGAGACAGAGGGAAAGCAAATGCTGACGCTGCCCATTCCTGTGGGTTCTTCAGCAATGGAGGCCCAAAGCGATGAGCTGGGGATAGGGCTCCTGGTGATAAGGTTGTGTCAGTGATTCCCCAACTCTGCTGCACTTTAGAATCACCTGGAAAGCTTTTAAAATATCTCTGTGCCCAGGTTGCATCTCAAACCAATTAAGTCACATTGCCTGGGGTGGGAGCCACGCTCTAGTTTTAAAGATCCACAGGTGTTTTAAATGTACAGTTGAGTTTGGAACCACCGTGCTATATGCTGCCTTCCCACTGCCCCTTGCTTCTTCCCTTTGGCTCTGAGATAGTGATGCTGAGGATTAGGCGAGCGAAGTGTTCTCTTGACGAGAGCATGCATAAGAATAACCTGGAGGGCTGTTTAAACAGATTCCTGGACCCCACCTCCAGAGATTCTGATGCAGCAGGTCTGGGGCGGGGCCTGAGTGTCTGCATTTCTCACAAGCTCCCAGGTGATGCTGATGCTGATGATCCAGGACCGCCTTTTGAATAGCAAGATCCTAGAGAGCTACAGTGCTGTGTTCTCTTCATGGGTCAAAGGGCATTTCTGTTTCTGGGTTCAGCATTAACCACATACTTGTAGTAAATCAATTAGTGTTTGGGATGATGGATATTAATTTAGTTTACACAGGGATTTTTTCAATAAGGAAATCATTTCTTATCTCCTCAGATAACAGCAGGGATGGCAGACTTATACCAGGGTAACTGGTATATGCAAGTGATAAATAGGAATGTGTCAAAATGTGCTGTTATCATTTCGAAGGAAAAAAGTGAAGGCTCATTGGGGTTCCATTTGGAAAAGTGGCACTTTATACTTTGCTTCCTTCTGCTGCTCTGTTGGTCATTGCTGACCTGCTATAATGGTTTAATCATTCCTTTTGCCATTTGTATGCCACAAATTTGTCTGTCACTGGAGTCAATAGTAGCAGCACAAATCCGAACAAGAAGGCATAGCAGGAAGCAGTCACTGAGGTCAACGTGAGCCACCTGAATGTAATTAGATGTGTCAAATGAAAGCATGAAGCCAATGAATTTTGACTTTTCTAAAATTGAAAATACATCACTCAAGAATGGTCCAGGGTGACAGTTTGGATCAGTGATTCTCAACCAGGGTGACCAGCCATCTCAGTTTGTCTGGTACAGTCACAGTGTTAGCAGTGAAATTTCTGCATCCTGGGAGACCCCCTCAGTCCTGCACAAACCTGGATGACTGGTCACCCTTTTCTCAACTGGTTGTACACTGCAATTGCCTAGAGAGCCTGAAATATACTCCTGCCTGGGATGCATCATCAGATATTTTGGTTTAATTGGTCCTGGACATTGCAGTTTTTAAAAGCTCCCATATGGCATGTGCTTTGTTACTGTGAGGACTAAGGTGTATAAGACAGAATCCTTGAGAGCTTACGTTCTAGAGGAGGAAAGAGGTCTGTAGTTAGATACAGCATTTCACACAATCATCCACTTATCTGCTCAATAGATATTTGTTGAATACCTTCTGTGCAGGACTGTTTAGGCATTGAACATCCAGTGGTGAATAAGATAGCTGAGATTGATTTTTTCACTCTTTCAGTTTCAAGAGTTTACTACTTCCTTCTACTAGTGGAGGAGTGGCACTCAGAAAATAATGAATAAACAAACTAATAAACAGTGTACTTTCAGATTGTGCAAGTGCTATGAAGGAGCAGTGTCACTCCCAGGATATGTGGGACCTGTGTCTCTAGAAACAATGTGAGTCACTCCAGATCAATGTGGCAGCCTCATTCTGGCTACCCAGTCTCGCATGATCCCATCACAGAAGTATTGTGCCAGTCAGCTGGAGTGATCTGCTGGCCAGGCTTCCCACCTGACACCAGGGCTGGATATGGTGCCCTTGGATAACTTCATAGGTATAAGTCTGGGAATTCTTTGGGGCATCTGGTTGACCCTGTGTAGGAACTAGAGAGTTGGAAAATGTCCTGAAGTGTTGAAATGGGTCTCGGGTTCTTGCAGGGACTGGTTTGGGCTCAGGGCACCCTACCCATATGGCACTGCAGCCCTGGCTGGTGCCAGGTCCCAGGTGGCCATGGAGAAGGCCCTTTAAAGCACCAGTCTGAGGGTGGTACTGATAGCAACCAGGGTGGTGGTGGCGCTGCTCTGTTAGAATGAGTGGACAGGAGACCTCACTGGGAGTAACATATGAACTGAGACCTACATGATTGGAAAAAGCCATCATGTGGAGAATTGGGGGAAAACATGCCAGGAAGAGGGAACATCAAGTGCAGAGGCCATGATGTGGGAATGAATGCAAGTAGGTATAAGACATAAAAAACAAGGTTTTATTGTTTCCTCTTCCTACAGGGAAGATTTAAGTGCATAAATAATGACCAGGCATGGTTTTAAAAGATTAGTTCACTAGACAAATGAGATGAAGAAAGGCATTGTAGCAAAGAGAGCAGTGACTGAAAAAATTGGAGGAGTTAAGTAGCCCCGTGAATTCGGGAATTCACAGGGAGATCTTGAGGAGTCAATGCTTGGGGTATATAGTGTGAGTTGGAAGCAGGGAGAGATGAAGTGAGAATGGAAGGACTTAGCAATGATGTAGAGGAATTTCTCTTTATCCTGAAGGTGTGGGGAAACCACTGGAAAACTTCATCTCAGAAACAATGCAGTCAGATTTATGTCTTAGAAAAATCACTTTGGCAGGAGTGTGAAGGATGGGTTAGAAGGGCCAGTGGACTAGAGAGGGGAAGAGCAATTAGGAAAGCCTTGCAATATTCCAGGAAAGGGATAAGGAGGCCCTGAAGGAGTGGCTTGGATGGAGGGATATTTAGAAAGCGCAACTGATAGACTGGGTGATAGATTTAAGTGGGGAGCAAAAGAGAAAGAGAAGTCAAAAGGTATCCCCTACTCTCTAGCTTGGGACATAATGACCAACTGAGATTGGCAACGCAAGATAAAAACAAGCTTTTTAGGGGCGGCAAAATTGCATTCTTGAATATATCAAGCTTGAAATGCCTGTGGTCTATTCAGGTGGGAATGACCAGAGGCTGTGGGATGTGGAGGTCTGGGAAGGGGGAGGAGTCAGGCCTGGAGATAGAGAGTTGGGAAACATTAGCATGCAGGTCTCAGGAAGAGGGCAGAGGATGGATAATTGAATAACACTAATACTTAAAAAGTATGACAGTAAAGCAAACCTTTAGAAAGAAATTAAAAAAGCAGTCTGAAGGAGAAGCAGAGAACCTGGAGACCACGGTGCCCTAAACTTTGGGAAGAGGGATTTTCAAGGAGGGGGTGGTCAATAGGGAAAGGCTGCAAGAGGGGAAGTGAGAAAGATGGGCCGTCCTCCTTTACAGCTCTTCTCATGACCAGGCACCAGCTTATGCATCTCCTAGTTTATTATTTATTT